CAGACGATCAGTAGGACCACAGACGACCAGTACGACCACAGACGACCAGTAGGACCACAGACGATCAGTCGACCACAGACGACCAGTAGGACCACAGACGACCAGTACGACCACAGTACGACCAGTACGACCACAGACGACCAGTACGACCACAGACGACCACAGACGACCAGTAGGACCACAGACGACCAGTAGGACCACAGACGACCAGTACGACCACAGACGACCAGTAGGACCACAGACGACCAGTACGACCACAGACGACCAGTAGACCACAGACGACCAGTAGGACCACAGACGACCAGTACGACCACAGACGACCAGTACGACCACAGACGACCAGTAGACCACAGACGACCAGTAGGACCACAGACGACCAGTACGACCACAGACGACCAGTAGGACCACAGACGACCAGTACGACCACAGACGACCAGTACGACCACAGACGACCAGTAGGACCACAGACGACCAGTAGGACCACAGACGACCAGTACGACCACAGACGACCAGTACGACCACAGACGACCAGTACGACCACAGACGACCAGTACGACCACAGACGACCAGTAGGACCACAGACGACCAGTAGGACCACAGACGACCAGTACGACCACAGACGACCAGTACGACCACAGACGACCAGTACGACCACAGACGACCAGTAGGACCACAGACGACCAGTAGGACCACAGACGACCAGTAGGACCACAGACGACCAGTACGACCACAGACGACCAGTACGACCACAGACGACCAGTACGACCACAGACGACCAGTAGGACCACAGACGACCAGTACGACCACAGACGACCAGTAGACCACAGACGACCAGTACGACCACAGACGACCAGTAGGACCACAGACGACCAGTAGGACCACAGACGACCAGTACCACAAACGACCAGTAGGACCACAGACGACCAGTACGACCACAGACGACCAGTACGACCACAGACGACCAGTAGGACCACAGACGACCAGTAGGACCACAGACGACCAGTAGGACCACAGACGACCAGTAGGACCACAGACGACCAGTACGACCACAGACGACCAGTACGACCACAGACGACCAGTACGACCACAGACGACCAGTAGGACCACAGACGACCAGTACGACCACAGACGACCAGTACGACCACAGACGACCAGTAGGACCACAGACGATCAGTAGAACCACAGACGACCAGTACGACCACAGACGACCAGTACGACCACAGACGACCAGTAGGACCACAGACGATCAGTACGACCACAGACGACCAGTACGACCACAGACGACCAGTAGGACCACAGACGACCAGTAGGACCACAGACGACCAGTAGGACCACAGACGACCAGTAGGACCACAGACGATCAGTAGGACCACAGACGACCAGTACGACCACAGACGATCAGTACGACCACAGACGACCAGTACGACCACAGACGACCAGTAGGACCACAGACGACCAGTAGGACCACAGACGACCAGTACGACCACAGACGACCAGTAGGACCACAGACGACCAGTACGACCACAGACGACCAGTAGGACCACAGACGACCAGTACGACCACAGACGACCAGTACGACCACAGACGACCAGTAGGACCACAGACGACCAGTACGACCACAGACGACCAGTACGACCACAGACGACCAGTACGACCACAGACGACCAGTAGGACCACAGACGACCAGTACGACCACAGACGACCAGTAGGACCACAGACGACCAGTACGACCACAGACGACCAGTACGACCACAGACGACCAGTAGGACCACAGACGACCAGTAGGACCACAGACGACCAGTACGACCACAGACGACCAGTAGGACCACAGACGACCAGTAGGACCACAGACGACCAGTAGGACCACAGACGACCAGTAGGACCACAGACGACCAGTACGACCACAGACGACCAGTACGACCACAGACGACCAGTAGGACCACAGACAACCAGTACGACCACAGACGACCAGTAGGACCACAGACGATCAGTACGACCACAGACGACCAGTAGGACCACAGACGACCAGTACGACCACAGACGACCAGTACGACCACAGACGACCAGTAGGACCACAGACAACCAGTACGACCACAGACGATCAGTACGACCACAGACGACCAGTAGGACCACAGACGACCAGTACGACCACAGACGACCAGTAGGACCACAGACGACCAGTAGGACCACAGACGACCAGTAGGACCACAGACGACCAGTACGACCACAGACGACCAGTACGACCACAGACGATCAGTACGACCACAGACGACCAGTACGACCACAGACGACCAGTAGGACCACAGACGATCAGTAGGACCACAGACGACCAGTAGGACCACAGACGACCAGTAGGACCACAGACGACCAGTACGACCACAGACGACCAGTAGGACCACAGACGACCAGTAGGACCACAGACGACCAGTACGACCACACAGACGACCAGTACGACCACAGACGACCAGTAGGACCACAGACGACCAGTAGGACCACAGACGACCAGTAGGACCACAGACGACCAGTAGGACCACAGACGACCAGTAGGACCACAGACGACCAGTAGGACCACAGACGACCAGTAGGACCACAGACGACCAGTAGGACCACAGACGACCAGTACGACCACAGACGACCAGTAGGACCACAGACGACCAGTAGGACCACAGACGACCAGTAGGACCACAGACGACCAGTAGGACCACAGACGACCAGTAGGACCACAGACGACCAGTACGACCACAGACGACCAGTACGACCACAGACGACCAGTAGGACCACAGACGACCAGTAGGACCACAGTACGACCAGTAGGACCACCAGACGACCAGTAGGACCACAGACGACCAGTACGACCACAGACGTCAGTAGGACCAGTGACAGACGACCAGTAGGACCACAGACGACCAGTAGGACCACAGACGACCAGTAGGACCACAGACGACCAGTAGGACCACAGACGACCAGTAGGACCACAGACGACCAGTACGACCACAGACGACCAGTAGGACCACAGACGACCAGTAGGACCACAGACGACCAGTAGGACCACAGACGACCAGTAGGACCACAGACGACCAGTAGGACCACAGACGACCAGTACGACCACAGACGACCAGTACGACCACAGACGACCAGTACGACCACAGACGACCAGTAGGACCACAGACGACCAGTAGGACCACAGACGACCAGTACGACCACAGACGATCAGTAGGACCACAGACGACCAGTAGGACCACAGACGACCAGTAGGACCACAGACGACCAGTAGGACCACAGACGACCAGTACGACCACAGACGACCAGTACGACCACAGACGACCAGTACGACCACAGACGATCAGTACGACCACAGACGACCAGTACGACCACAGACGACCAGTAGGACCACAGACGACCACAGACGACCACAGACGACCAGGCTAATGTGAATCTAGTTGTGGGAAGTGTCAGTTCCTGTCGCCCACAAACCACCGCCTGTTCTGTTCCAAACTAAAACCACAGTTTCATCCATTTTCTTGAAAGGCACAAAAATGACTCATTTTATAAGAAACAAAGTAAACGCAAAAAGGGCGGGTTTTTTTACCAACATTTTGCAGTTTAATTTCTATTTTTTATTTTCTGTGCCGCCAAAGACATGTTGCTAGGCAACAGTCAAAATAGATGAGTCGTAGGTCGTATAATATCTTTGTGTAAATATCTAAAATAAATAGTTTTTTGGTGTTTTGTACAAACAGGAAGTACTAACATAAAAACATACAAACAGGAAGTGAACAGAGGCCTGCGGATGTTGCTCCTTTCATTTATTTATGTATTTACTCCAAACACTGAAGATTCAGATCAGATCATTAGAACAGGTTTGTCTTATAATCAGGTGCGGCTTATAGTCCAGAAAACACTTAATACTGTCTTTGTTCACAGAAAGAACACCCTCAATACATTTATACTCATCAAACTCATCATTACAGTGTCATAACTATATCGTCAAAACACAAAAATAAAATAAAAACAGTTTGAAGGAGGATTTTTTTTCTTCTTTCTGCTTCTTTTAGTGTGACAAGACTGCAATTATTTGGAACGTAATTGAAATATGTGATGTATTGTCATGTCCCTAGATTACTGACAGAAAAAAAAAAAAGAAATCAATCAATAGATCTAACTTTTGTGACATGCATGGTTATCTTGTAGAGTGCCCGTGCCTTTCAGCCAATCAGCTCTCAGCTTGTTCAAACAGGATATAGATACAGATACAGACTGCATGTTGTGGTCTGATCGTTATAATTATACAGTCTATGATTATGAAACAAGACAAATGATATTGGGACAGAAACAGTACAAAACAAGACTGTCCAGATTAAAAAGTTACAAAGGAAAACGGTGCAAGAACCAGCTATAGTAATTACAGATATTCAATAATAATTAAAAATGAAAATATATGTTCATTTTGGCTTTACATTTCTGACAAGACCACAGCATGTTGGATGGACTCACCCCTCATGCTGACATCCAGGGGGTTCAGTCCTGCAGCACACACCTTCACGATCACCTCATTGGGGTAGTTTATGATTGGAAAAGCAGCATTTTTGGTGAACCTTAGTACATCATTTGCCCCATATTTATCAATGACCCAGGCAGGCATGATGTTGGAGCAGCTCTTTGACGTACTGAACTGTCTCTGTCTGGACCGTACTGCATTTAGACATAACGCTGTGTTACTTCTGTGAATTAAAAGTATAGATCTATTCATGATTTTACTTGTAAGGGTTTGCAATGTAAATGTCAAAGTCAAAAAGCTACAGTGTTAGCTATATGCGAAAAGTCCGTACGCCAAAAACGGATTCCCTAAAATAAATAAATAAATATATATCGTCCTCCGTAGCTTTAGTGGATTAAAAACGTCATAATGAGTATTTATAAAGACAAACAGCGTGCTCAAAATAATACATTTCTCACAACACGCCGCTTCCTGGTTCTCTGACTCAATTTGACGCTGTGTCAAAAACGAACCAATCACATTACGTTTCCTTTCCGCCACCGACCAATCAGAGAGGACGTTGCTTCACATGGGAAATAGAAACAAACATGGCGGCGCCGGGCAGTGTACATTCATAACGAAGGTTGTTGGTTTTAAAGAGATTGTCTAAAGAATATTATCACTATGCTCAGCTTAACAATAAAAGAGGTTTGTTTGGGCGCGTTTATATATTTCAAAATCTCAACATTGTCCATTGAAAGTGTAAATTAATACAAGTTGTATTATGTTTACTACGTGCTAACATGTGTATCCTGTATCCCCAGGCTTCCTTAGCGCTGAGAGAGGGAAAGATCTCTCCGGTGGAACTGTGCAGGAAATGTCTGAGTCGGATCAAGAAAACACAACATCTTAATGCTTACATCACAGTCACAGAGGAGCAGGCGGTGGCGCAGGCGCTGGAGGCAGAAGCGCGACTTATGAGAGGTATCATTACAATATCTAAAGTAGCTATATGTGAGATTTGTATGTCAAGTCATCATTAAAGGGCCCTAATCTGTCATCATTAAAGGGCCCTAATCTGTCGTCATTAAAGGGCCCTAATCTGTCATCATTAAAGGGCCCTAATCTGTCATCATTAAAGGGCCCTAATCTGTCCTCATTAAAGTGCCCTAATCTGTCATCATTAAAGGGCCCTAATCTGTCATCATTAAAGGGCCCTAATCTGTCGTCATTAAAGGGCCCTAATCTGTCATCATTAAAGGGCCCTAATCTGTCCTCATTAAAGTGCCCTAATCTGTCATCATTAAAGGGCCCTAATCTGTCATCATTAAAGGGCCCTAATCTGTCCTCATTAAAGTGCCCTAATCTGTCATCATTAAAGTGCCCTAATCTGTCCTCATTAAAGTGCCCTAATCTGTCATCATTAAAGGGCCCTAATCTGCCATCATTAAAGTGCCCTAATCTGTCATCATTAAAGGGCCCTAATCTGCCATCATTAAAGTGCCCTAATCTGTCCTCATTAAAGGGCCCTAATCTGTCATCATTAAAGGGCCCTAATCTGTCCTCATTAAAGGGCCCTAATCTGTCATCATTAAAGGGCCCTAATCTGTCATCATTAAAGGGCCCTAATCTGTCATCATTAAAGGGCCCTAATCTGTCATCATTAAAGGGCCCTAATCTGTCATCATTAAAGGGCCCTAATCTGTCCTCATTAAAGGGCCCTAATCTGTCATCATTAAAGGGCCCTAATCTGTCCTCATTAAAGTGCCCTAATCTGTCATCATTAAAGTGCCCTAATCTGTCATCATTAAAGGGCCCTAATCTGTCATCATTAAAGGGCCCTAATCTGTCATCATTAAAGGGCCCTAATCTGTCATCATTAAAGGGCCCTAATCTGTCATCATTAAAGGGCCCTAATCTGCCATCATTAAAGGGCCCTAATCTGTCATCATTAAAGGGCCCTAAACTCTCATCATTAAAGGGCCCTAATCTGTCATCATTAAAGGGCCCTAATCTGTCATCATTAAAGGGCCCTAATCTGTCATCATTAAAGGGCCCTAATCTGTCATCATTAAAGGGCCCTAATCTCTCCTCATTAAAGTGCCCTAATCTGTCATCATTAAAGGGCCCTAATCTGCCATCATTAAAGTGCCCTAATCTGTCCTCATTAAAGGGCCCTAATCTGTCATCATTAAAGGGCCCTAATCTGTCCTCATTAAAGGGCCCTAATCTGTCCTCATTAAAGGGCCCTAATCTGTCATCATTAAAGGGCCCTAATCTGTCATCGTTAAAGGGCCCTAATCTGTCATCATTAAAGGGCCCTAATATGGGCCCTAATCTGTCATCATTAAAGGGCCCTAATCTGTCCTCATTAAAGGGCCCTAATCTGTCATCATTAAAGGGCCCTAATCTGTCCTCATTAAAGTGCCCTAATCTGTCATCATTAAAGTGCCCTAATCTGTCATCATTAAAGGGCCCTAATCTGTCATCATTAAAGGGCCCTAATCTGTCATCATTAAAGGGCCCTAATCTGTCATCATTAAAGGGCCCTAATCTGTCATCATTAAAGGGCCCTAATCTGCCATCATTAAAGGGCCCTAATCTGTCATCATTAAAGGGCCCTAAACTCTCATCATTAAAGGGCCCTAATCTGTCATCATTAAAGGGCCCTAATCTGTCATCATTAAAGGGCCCTAATCTGTCATCATTAAAGGGCCCTAATCTGTCATCATTAAAGGGCCCTAATCTCTCCTCATTAAAGTGCCCTAATCTGTCATCATTAAAGGGCCCTAATCTGCCATCATTAAAGTGCCCTAATCTGTCCTCATTAAAGGGCCCTAATCTGTCATCATTAAAGGGCCCTAATCTGTCCTCATTAAAGGGCCCTAATCTGTCCTCATTAAAGGGCCCTAATCTGTCATCATTAAAGGGCCCTAATCTGTCATCGTTAAAGGGCCCTAATCTGTCATCATTAAAGGGCCCTAATCTGTCATCATTAAAGGGCCCTAATCTGTCATCATTAAAGGGCCCTAATCTGTCATCATTAAAGGGCCCTAATCTGTCATCATTAAAGGGCCCTAATCTGTCATCATTAAAGGGCCCTAATCTGTCATCATTAAAGGGCCCTAATCTGTCCTCATTAAAGTGCCCTAATCTGTCATCATTAAAGTGCCCTAATCTGTCCTCATTAAAGTGCCCTAATCTGTCATCATTAAAGGGCCCTAATCTGCCATCATTAAAGTGCCCTAATCTGTCATCATTAAAGGGCCCTAATCTGCCATCATTAAAGTGCCCTAATCTGTCCTCATTAAAGGGCCCTAATCTGTCATCATTAAAGGGCCCTAATCTGTCCTCATTAAAGGGCCCTAATCTGTCCTCATTAAAGGGCCCTAATCTGTCATCATTAAAGGGCCCTAATCTGTCATCGTTAAAGGGCCCTAATCTGTCCTCATTAAAGGGCCCTAATCTGTCATCGTTAAAGGGCCCTAATCTGTCATCATTAAAGTGCCCTAATCTGTCATCATTAAAGTGCCCTAATCTGTCATCGTTAAAGGGCCCTAATCTGTCATCATTAAAGGGCCCTAATCTGTCATCATTAAAGGGCCCTAATCTGTCATCATTAAAGGGCCCTAATCTGTCATCATTAAAGGGCCCTAATCTGTCATCATTAAAGGGCCCTAATCTGTCATCATTAAAGTGCCCTAATCTGTCCTCATTAAAGGGCCCTAATCTGTCATCGTTAAAGGGCCCTAATCTGTCATCATTAAAGGGCCCTAATCTGTCATCATTAAAGGGCCCTAATCTGTCATCATTAAAGGGCCCTAATCTGTCATCATTAAAGGGCCCTAATCTGTCATCATTAAAGGGCCCTAATCTGTCATAATAATAAACTGTTCTTTTCCAATACTTCTTTAATTGATAACAATAGTTCAGAGAAATTTCTAAATTACTTTTCCAGCCTCTAAATCTTGTTATTGTTTTCATTTTGATGTCCCGCCCTCCTAACCTTGCCTGCAAGCTGAATTCTCGCGGTATTTGTGAGTTCACAAACACTCGAGAATACATCTTGTACCGCTCCCGCTTACACTTTTCGAGTCGAACCACTGGGTGTGCGAGCCAATCACGCGCCAGTCTGGGGGTTTAGGGCGGGATATCCGGGTTTGACGAAAGCAAGAAGTGCTGGGCCGAAGCAAAACAAACATGGCTACGCAGGAGGACGGACGCGTAGCTGAGGCTATCAAGTCAGTTTTAGCAGAATCTCCAATTTCTTTTTTGAAAGATGAACAGCGAGAGGCGCTTTGTGCATTTCTGGACGGCAAAGATGTTTGTGCATTTTTACCTACGTAAGTCAAACCTTGGTAGGCGGGCACACAGCGTCACTTCGCCCAATCAGCTTCAAGTATTCTGCTGCTTATCCCTCCTTTCCCCGAAAGGATTCTCCGTGAGAAATCCCAGATTGATATTGCGGAGAACGCGTTAGAGTTCTACACAATCATCAATCTGGCTCTTGCCAGGTTACCGCCCTCCACCGTTTCACCAATCAGAAAGTCTGTGATCCGGGCGCCAGAACTCACCGCGTGGAGCTAATCTCACTGGTAAAGTACCATGTGGAGCAGAACTAAAAAAGGTCTCGTTATGATTCTCAAATCATTAACGACAAAACAAGGAATAAAACCAGGATTTCTATCTCTGTGAAAAAGGTGTTGGTTATAGATTTGTTGTTGACAAAACTCTTGTCTATTCAGCTGTTATGGTCCCAGCTGGATTCGTCTGCATATCTGGCAACCTGAGTCAGGGAGAGTGGGAGAGGCTGCAGTACCACTTTTGGCCACATGTTTACACACTGCTCCTTTAAAGACTAATATATTCTATACAAATCTTTGTGTAATAGACTCTTATTGTCTTGCTCCATCCAGGTTCTCCTAAAGGCGTGTTGGACGGGATTCCTTTTGCAGTTAAGGATAATTTCTGCACAGAGAACATCAAAACAACATGTGCCTCCAGGATGCTCAAAGGTTTGGGAACCTATAACCTGCTTTGTACAATTTCCACATATTGTACTGAATAACACCCATAGACCTACACCTGTGCATGTGTTTTAAACAGACTACACTCCACCATTCAACGCCACAGTCGTACAGAAGTTGCTTGACCAAGGAGCGGTCCTCGTGGGGAAGACCAACATGGACGAGTTTGCAATGGGGTCGGCAAGATGAAGACAAAATGTTACTTTCAATGTTGTTAATTTTATTATTATTAACATTTTCATTTAGATCAGGGAGCACAGATGGAGCGTTTGGACCAGTGAGAAATCCCTGGGGATATGCTGCCCCGTACAGAGAAAGCCCAGGTGTAGACCCGGACTCGGACTGGGTCGTGACGGGAGGGAGCTCAGGCGGGAGTGCGGCTGCTGTGGCGTCTCTCACAAGTTTTCTGTAAGAACAAGATCAAACATGTAGAAAAAACTGACATTTATCTACATTCATGGTCATTGGTCCCCCTTATTGTCCAATACCATGTGGTCTCTCTCTATGGTCCCAATACCATGTGGTCTCTCTCTATGGAACAATACCATGTGGTCTCTCTCTATGGTCCCAATACCATGTGGTCTCTCTATGGAACAATACCATGTGGTCTCTCTCTATGGTCCCAATACCATGTGGTCTCTCTCTATGGAACAATACCATGTGGTCTCTCTCTATGGTCCAATACCATGTGGTCTCTCTCTATGGTCCAATACCATGTGGTCTCTCTCTATGGTCCAATACCATGTGGTCTCTCTCTATGGTCCAATACCATGTGGTCTCTCTCTATGGTCCAATACCATGTGGTCTCTCTCTATGGAACATTATCATTAAAGTTTCATTATGTAAATCCATCAGTGGATCTCCTCGTGACCAGAGGATTGCATTTCACTGAATGTCATTCCAGATGTTTAGAAATCTGACTTGTAATTTAGTGTTTCATTTGGAGACAGTCACAGATTGTTCTAGTAAAGTGGCTTGTTATTTTAAATTTATTCATAGAAGAAATGCATAGATATATTACACAGTGGTATACTATACTCTAGGCCTGTCACAATGAAACATTTGATGGACAATATATTGATACATAACTGTAGTGCTATAGACTCTTCTTCTGAGTGGAGTTTGCATGTTCTCCCTGTGCCTGCGTAGGTTTCCTCTGGGTACTCCGGTTTCCCCTACCACTATAAACATGCTCACCAGGTAAAATCCTCCAGCTCTGGTCCTGACCAAGAGCATCAACATCTGGAGATGGGTTCCCGGGCGCTGTTACTACGGCGACCACTGCTCCTGACGTAAGCCTTAGGGCATCAGGGTCAAATGCAGAGGATGAAGTGCCCTACGGGGATTAATAAAGTGCACCTTTGACTCTTGTATTGAAACAACATTGTGCCACTGTTACAAACACAAGCCCAAGACTCCTTTGAACCATTATTGATTCATTATTTAAATAAACAGCAGAATTAAGCAAACATTTACTATTTTCTTTTTTCTTATCACTATTGCAAAGAAAACCTGCAGGCGATAAATATTTATTTGTTTTTGGACAATAAATGTGAATATTAAACTGAAATAGGGATTAGTTTGGGGATTCTCCTGTGTGAGATTAATTAACTGATCTGATCTTATCTGCCCGATGGTTCTCACGATGTGGCAGTGAAATACAGATGAAAATGTTTTTATTGTTCCTGCAGGGCGCTCGGGTCGGACACGGGCGGATCCACTCGGAACCCGGGAGCGCTGTGTGGGGCTGTGGCGCTGAAACCCACGTACGGCCTCCTGTCCAGACACGGCCTCATTCCTCTGGTCAACTCCCTGGACGTCCCTGGGGTCCTGACCCGAAGTGTGGGGGATGCAGCTTTAGTTTTAGGTAAGAAATGACCCATTTTAAACAGTTGCTTTTTTATGTAACAGACTGAAACAATCCAACAGTTAGCTACACGTTGTTTTTAATGTATCACACTCATGTTTAACTTTCAAAACAATGTAAGACTTTGTGGAAAACATAATCTAACTCAGAGGTCGGGAACCTTTTTAGCTGAGAGAGGCAAAAAAGTCTCCTTCTTAAATATGTGATTCTGTGGGGGCCTTACATATTTGTTTTACTGTGACTTTGTGTGATCCAAAAAAAAGATCAACACATTTATAGTAAGATATTAGTAATGGGATTTATGCTTTCTTTGGTTAAAAACATGTTAATGCTGAAGAAATCCAGTGCATAAAAGTTTTACTATGAATGCCTACAAAGCCTGAGAGCCAGACACGATCATCCAGAAGTCATAGGTTCCTGACCCATGATCTAACAAGTCTCTTTCTCGCAAAACAATTTAGTTCTAGTTTTACACATTCTGGTTTCTGTCACATCTTTTCATCAACTTGGCGGCACGGTGGCTGAGTGGATAGCACTCTCGCCTCTCAGCAAGAAGGTCCTGAGTTCGAATCCCGGTCGGACCAGGGCCTTTCTGAGTGGAGTTTGCATGTTCTCCCCGTGTCTGCGTAGGTTTCCTCCGGGTACTCCGGTTTCCCCTACCACTAAAAATATGTCCAATAGTTCTGGCATGTGCCTCCTGTACTGGCCCCGCTCCCATCTCTGTGTGGAGTGAGAGACAAATGCCCAAAAATAACAATTGTAAACCGCTTTGAGACTCAGATCTGCAGTGAAAAGGCGGTATATAAATAAAGATAAAAAAAAAAACAAAAACAAAAAAACTTTATTTAACAAGAAAGTGAAAAATAGACAGTCTCGCCCAGGTCTCAGCCCGTAGCGTGAAATAGTGACTCCAAAGGGTTAGAGCAGGGGTCACCAACCTTTTTGAAACCAAGAGCTACTTCTTGGGTACTGATTAATGCGAAGGGCTACCAGTTTGTTACACACTTAAATAAATTGCCAGATATGGCCAATTTGCTCAATTTACCTTTAATTCTATGTTTTTACTAATAATTAATGATATTTATTTTGTGGAAAAACTTTTATATTTTCTCTAAGTGCACATTTTTCAAATTTAACAAATGATCACTTCTAAGACAGTCCCATTTAATCGCAATTAATCACATTTTAATCGCATATAAATATTTGACCTGAGAACAGTGAGAAGTAATTTTTTTCACATGGATTTTTAGTTTACCTTTGAATAATGACTGAATACATGAGGCTTAAGCAACACATGTTAATATGGAGTTTAAGGGATAACTTCTAAACATCAAATAACGTTTCTGTCATTGCCTCCACACTCTGACGACAACATATGCTCCTCCTCCTCCTCCTCACTCTGACGACAACATATGCTCCTCCTCCTCCTCCTCACACTGACGACAACATATGCTCCTCCTCCTCCTCCTCACTCTGACGACAACATATGCTCCTCCTCCTCCTCCTCACACTGACGACAACATATGCTCCTCCTCCTCCTCCACACTCTGACGACAACATATGCTCCTCCTCCTCCTCCTCACACTGACGACAACATATGCTCCTCCTCCTCCTCCTCACTCTGACGACAACATATGCTCCTCCTCCTCCTCCTCACTCTGACGACAACATATGCTCCTCCTCCTCCTCCTCACACTGACGACAACATATGCTCCTCCTCCTCCTCCTCACTCTGACGACAACATATGCTCCTCCTCCTCCTCCTCACACTGACGACAACATATGCTCCTCCTCCTCCTCCACACTCTGACGACAACATATGCTCCTCCTCCTCCTCCTCACACTGACGACAACATATGCTCCTCCTCCTCCTCCTCACTCTGACGACAACATATGCTCCTCCTCCTCCTCCTCACTCTGACGACAACATATGCTCCTCCTCCTCCTCCTCACTCTGACGACAACATATGCTCCTCCTCCTCCTCCTCACTCTGACGACAACATATGCTCCTCCTCCTCCTCCTCACTCTGACGACAACATATGCTCCTCCTCCTCCTCCTCACACTGACGACAACATATGCTCCTCCTCCTCCTCCTCACACTGACGACAACATATGCTCCTCCTCCTCCTCCTCACACTGACGACAACATATGCTCCTCCTCCTCCTCCACACTCTGACGACAACATATGCTCCTCCTCCTCCTCCTCACTCTGACGACAACATATGCTCCTCCTCCTCCTCCTCACACTGACGACAACATATGCTCCTCCTCCTCCTCCTCACACTGACGACAACATATGCTCCTCCTCCTCCTCCTCACACTGACGACAACATATGCTCTTCCTCCTCCTCCTCACACTGACGACAACATATGCTCCTCCTCCTCCTCCTCACTCTGACGACAACATATGCTCCTCCTCCTCCTCCTCCACACTCTGACGACAACATATGCTCCTCCTCCTCCTCCTCACACTGACGACAACATATGCTCCTCCTCCTCCTCCACACTCTGACGACAACATATGCTCCTCCTCCTCCTCCTCACTCTGACGACAACATATGCTCCTCCTCCTCCTCCTCACACTGACGACAACATATGCTCCTCCTCCTCCTCCTCACACTGACGACAACATATGCTCCTCCTCCTCCTCCTCACACTGACGACAACATATGCTCCTCCTCCTCCTCCTCACACTGACGACAACATATGCTCCTCCTCCTCCTCCTCACACTGACGACAACATATGCTCCTCCTCCTCCTCCTCACACTGACGACAACATATGCTCCTCCTCCTCCTCCTCACACTGACGACAACATATGCTCCTCCTCCTCCTCCTCACACTGACGACAACATATGCTCCTCCTCCTCCTCCTCACACTGACGACAACATATGCTCCTCCTCCTCCTCCACACTCTGACGACAACATATGCTCCTCCTCCTCCTCCTCACTCTGACGACAACATATGCTCCTCCTCCTCCTCCTCACACTGACGACAACATATGCTCCTCCTCCTCCTCCTCACACTGACGACAACATATGCTCCTCCTCCTCCTCCACACTCTGACGACAACATATGCTCCTCCTCCTCCTCCTCACTCTGACGACAACATATGCTCCTCCTCCTCCTCCTCACACTGACGACAACATATGCTCCTCCTCCTCCTCCTCACACTGACGACAACATATGCTCCTCCTCCTCCTCCTCACACTGACGACAACATATGCTCTTCCTCCTCCTCCTCACACTGACGACAACATATGCTCCTCCTCCTCCTCCTCCACTCTGACGACAACATATGCTCCTCCTCCTCCTCCACACTCTGACGACAACATATGCTCCTCCTCCTCCTCCTCACACTGACGACAACATATGCTCCTCCTCCTCACACTGACGACAACATATGCTCTTCCTCCTCCTCCTCACACTGACGACAACATATGCTCTTCCTCCTCCTCCTCACACTGACGACAACATACTCTTTTTAAGCCCAAAATCCACTGCACACGCTGTGAGCACTAAAGCTGGGCATGCGCTGTTTGCTAAAGCTTTTATAATACGTTTTTGATGTGTGCATTCGGAGTAAACATCAGCATTAGCAGCTCACACACCTGTGTCTCGCTCCTCCTCCTCCTCCTCCTCCGCTCACACAGGAGTCACTGCTCCTCCTCCTCACACACAGAGTCCATCGCTCCATACACAGCGCTCATTCCCGTCTAATTTACTCGAATTTAAAGTTGGTCTCTGATTGTAATAATGTACTTTTGAACAAGAAAAGTCACGGAGCTCCGGTTGGTGCGTCAGTTCAATTGGTCCGTCTGAAACTTATTCAGTGAGGAACGTTCCGCGGTGCAAAAATACATTACATGTACAAATACAATACATTTTTTTAACGCGCTTTTTTGTGTGTAATTAATTAATCTTTATTAACTTGTTAAAGTCCCGGCTCTAGTTTATATGCCACTTGTAAGTTGCATGTAAGTATGATTTAAACAAGAATAGCACTGGTAAGTGCTGCCATTTGAGCTATTTTTAGAACAGGCCAGCGGGCGACTCATCTGGTCCTTGCGGGCGACCTGGTGCCCGCGGGCACCGCGTTGGTGACCCCTGGGTTAGAGTTATTCTGCAAATATGCAATAATATCATAATAATAAGGTGAAGGTTATCAAGTTATGGCCTGATTTTATTTCCATTTTTTTATCTTCTGAGACTCTAATAATGTGCAGTTTATTAAAAAGAAAAGTGAGGTACCCGAGCTTTATTACACAGTTACTACAGAATGTTTTTTATATGTTTTCTTTAGATGTTCTGAAAGGTGTTGATGTAAAAGACTCCACGACCATTTCCTCTCATTCAACATTTGCACCACTCCCTGAAGATTTGGATGTCAGTAAATTATGCGTGGGAATCCCCAAAGTAAGTTCCACTGTTAAAGGGCCCTAATCTGTCGTCATTAAAGGGCCCTAATCTGTCGTCATTAAAGGGCCCTAATCTGTTGTCATTAAAGGGCCCTAATCTGTCATCATTAAAGGGCCCTAATCTGTCATCATTAAAGGGCCCTAATCTGTTGTCATTAAAGGGCCCTAATCTGTCATCATTAAAGGGCCCTAATCTGTCATCATTAAAGGGCCCTAATCTGTTGTCATTAAAGGGCCCTAATCTGTCATCATTAAAGGGCCCTAATCTGTTGTCATTAAAGGGCCCTAATCTGTCATCATTAAAGAGCCCTAATCTGTCATCATTAAAGGGCCCTAATCTGTCATTAAAGGGCCCTAATCTGTCATAATTAAAGGGCCCTAATCTGTCATAATTAAAGGGCCCTAATCTGTCATCATTAAAGGGCCCTAATCTGTCGTCATTAAAGAGCCCTAATCTGTCATCATTAAAGGGCCCTAATCTGTCACTCACCGCGTGGAGCTAATCTCACTGGTAAAGTACCATGTGGCGCAGAACTAAAAAGGTCTCGTTATGATTCTCAAATCATTAACGACAAAACAAGGAATAAAACCAGGATTTCTATCTTTGTGAAAAAGGTGTTGGTTATAGATTTGTTGTTGACAAAACTCTTGTCTATTCAGCTGTTATGGTCCCAGCTGGATTCGTCTGCATATCTGGCAACCTGAGTCAGGGAGAGTGGGAGAGGCTGCAGTACCACTTTTGGCCACATGTTTACACACTGCTCCTTTAAAGTGTATTTTGATTTTGGTCCATAGGCGACCATATGGCAGTGTATTTGTAGCATAACTATGTGTTTTTGTGTATCTTTGTGTATTTGTGTGTTGTCAGGAGTACCACGCCCCGGGCCTGTCTGAGGACACGCTGCAGCAGTGGCGTCGTGTTGCCGACATGTTTGAAAGAGCAGGAGCCCGAGTGCAGCAGGTGTCCCTCCCCCACACCCAGTTCTCCATCGTCTGCTACCACGTCCTGTGCTGCGCCGAGGTGGCCTCCAACATGGCCCGCTTCGATGGGCTGCAGTACGGTATGTAAAACCCATGGATCTATTATAAATCCACGCCGCTGTCAGACTGTACAATAAGTCACTGATGGCCTGCACTAGGGCTGAAGAACCTGCTGCTATAGCTATCCTGCACAGACTATATTCTTAACCTCTAACATGTTTCACACTTCTGTCTTTTGCACAATCTGAGTGATTCTGTCTGTGCCAAATGTGACATGTACATTTATATAAAGTTTATCTTTTTATAATATCTGGAGAGGGTGTTTCTCTCTTGGAGCTGACGGACGACCCAGACATTATCCCCATAGAAGTCAATGTAAACTAAAACAGCTCGGCCTCAGCTGACAGAGAGCCTGACAGAGAGCCCGACAGAGAACCCGACAGAGAGCCTGACAGAGGACCTGACAGAGGACCTGACAGAGGACCTGACAGAGAACCTGACAGAGAACCTGACAGAGAGCCTGACAAAGAGCCTGACAGAGAGCCTGACAGAGAGCCTGACAGAGAGCCTGACAGAGAGCCTGACAGAGAGCCTGACAGAGAGCCTGACAGAGGACCTGACAGAGAGCCTGACAGAGAGCCTGACAGAGGACCTGACAGAGAGCCTGACAGAGAGCCTGACAGAGAGCCTGACAGAGAGCCTGACAGAGGACCTGACAGAGAGCCTGACAGAGAGCCTGACAGAGAGCCTGACAGAGAGCCTGACAGAGAGCCTGACAGAGAGCCTGACAGAGAGCCTGACAGAGAGCCTGACAGAGAGCCTGACAGAGAACCTGACAGAGAACCTGACAGAGAGCCTGACAGAGAACCTGACAGAGGACCTGAGAGAAAACCTACAGCTTTCATAAAGGAGGATTCTGTGGATGTTAGTGTCTCTTGTCGTTCCTTGCCTTTTTTTCCTTCTGTTTTCATTAAATCCACACGCCCTCTGATTGGTCAGAACGCTGCCCTCTGATTGGTCAGAACGCTGCCCTCTGATTGGGCAGAGCGCTGCCCTCTGATTGGTCAGAGCGCTGCCCTCTGATTGGTCAGAACGCTGCTCTCTGATTGGTCAGAACGCTGCCCTCTGATTGGGCAGAGCGCTGCCCCCCAATTTCTGTTTTCAAAAATGAATTGCTCTACGCTGTGAAACTGTATGAATTCTAGTTCCTATTTGCGTTTACTGCTGTATTTACATATAGTCCCCTGTGCCCCGCCCCCTATGTTTCAGTTTAGTTTAAGTTTATTCATATGATCCCACCCCCGTGTGACCCCGCCCCTTGTGACCACGTCCCTTGTGGCTCCCCCTGTGACTCCGCCCCCTTATGACCACAGATGAAAATTAGCCTTGGCAACTATCTGAAGTGTTGGCTAATATATTCAGCCATGTGTTCAATGACATTACTGTATTTCAGGACATCGCAGTCGCACCGACAGCTCCACAGAAACCATGTACGCCACCTCCCGGCACGAGGGCTTCAACGACGTCGTCAGAGGAAGGATTCTGTCCGGAAACTACTTCCTGCTTAAACAGTAAGAAACAGGTGTTCGCAGCTGTGGATCAAGCTGACATGGTTTCATCTTGGATTTTCTAGGAGCTATGACAAGTACTTTTTAAAGGCCCAGAAAGTCAGACGTCTCATAACGGAGGATTTTAAGCAAGTTTTTGAGTCTGGGGTCGACGTGCTGCTGACGCCCAGCACTCTGACGGACGCTGCTCCATATTCTGACTTCACACAAGAAGACAACAGAACACGGAGTCTACAGGAAGATGTCTTCACTCAGCCAGTCAACATGGCAGGTAGGAGACAACTACACTAGCCTGGTCGTACCACACCATTGTACTCATTTCATTTCATACTAAGGTCTGGATTTGCTCCATTGGGAGGGGCTAACTCCTTTTACAGATTGAAACCATTGAATCTGAGTTTACTGTGACGTATGTAATGAGCCCGAGTGAGTGAGGCATGTAGCCTAGCTTTAGCCATCTCCTTTGCCACTAACGGAGCCCGTGGGGAGTAGAGCCACATTGCTTCAGTGACATTTACTAAACATTCCTCTTGCTCCGGCTTCAGTTTCTTGATATTTGGATTGAACCAGAACAGATTATTTTACTATCGCATTCTCCGACAAACTACAACTACAGCACAAACTCTTGACGTCACCGACACCGACCTACAACACCCGCCTCCCCCGCTCTCTGATTGGTCGGAGGAGGTTCAACCAGTGATTTAGCCTGATCCACTGTTTCCCTGACAACACCACTTTATCCACCCTGACTCCACCCCTTTATCCACCCTGACTCCGCCCCTTTATCCACCCTGACTCCGCCCCTTTATCCACCCTGACTCCGCCCCTTTATCCACCCTGACTCCACCCTGACTCCTTGGATGTAGCTTGTACCGGTCGTGTGTAACTAGGAATCATTCATTTTCATCCCCTTTAACTTGGAATCAGTCATTGTAAAAAAGAAAAGCCCTCATCCCCAGGCACCATGATGATGATGATTTGTTCTGATTTGTTCACATTTCAGTTGTATCTCTTTGTGTTGGGAGACACCATAAACCATTGTTGTTGTGATACCATGTGCAGGTCTACCAGCTGTGTCTGTGCCGACTGCTCTGTCGGGTCGAGGCCTCCCCATCGGGCTGCAGCTCATTGCTCCAGCGCTTCAGGACAGGGCCCTTCTGTCTGTGGCTCAGTGGATCGAACAGAGGGTCCACTTTCCCTCCATCAGGGACTCAGAAGGACCCAGCGAGGCCCTGAGCACAGCCTGAAGACCGGCAGGACCCAGACAAGCAGGACCCAGGCCAGCAGGACCCAGACAAGCAGGACCCAGGCCAGCAGGACCCAGACAAGCAGGACCCAGACAAGCAGGACCCAGACCAGCCAGACCCAGCACCCAGAAGGACCCAGGCCATCGGACTTAATAAGGCCTGATGTGACTGATGTGGGTGATGTCGCACAGTGAATAAATATATCCCACTTCTCTTTGATCTTCCTCCTTTGTTGTGGCAGTTCCTTTTCTGTTCAGAGGAAGCTGCTCTTTTCAACCACGGTGAAAGTACAGAAACTTTATTAACTGACTGCCGTTGACATATGTGTCTGTGACCCTCTATTCGACTGGGATTACACGACAATAAAAATAGCTACTAAAACACTTATTTTTGCCGATCAAAGAAGACAATCCAGTCTTTCAGAATCAGGTTTCACATTTTACATAGTCTTAGGAAAAAATATTCTGTAGGTCTTGAGAATCAGTGAAATCATCAAAAACGGCATCAATGAGTTAATACAGACAAAAGACACAGGTAGAACATGCAAACTCCACACAGAGAAGCCTGGAGGTGGAATCAAACCCAGAACCTTCTTGCTCTGAAGCGTTCGTCGCCGCCACGAGACTTTGTTCCCATTTTTCACTTCGGTGTCAGAGGAACAAAAACAACCTGAGTTTCGAGTCAAACCCAAAAAAGGTTTTGTTTCCAAGTCCCAAGACGACTCTTTTGTTCCTAGTTTAAAATATGAGTCAAAACACAAACTCGTCTGATTCTGAAATTTCCCACGAGGCCGGAAAAAAAAGCTTTTAAAGAGAAATCAGGAGAGAATAGAACGATTTTAAGAGTATTACAATAACAACACTGGCTGCTCCTGTTACAGCCTTTCACTTATTCATAGCCCTTAGAAGAGCCGTGGTCTGGGACTGGGTCTCGGGGTAAAACTGCAGTGATATTAAGTTAACTTTTGAAGAACGTGTGGAATGCAAAGTCATCCGTGTGCCATCAGTGACCTTCGCCTGCAGCAACACACTGCAAAAAAAGACAAGATTAAATGCTTGAATTGTGTTTTTATATGAATTGAGCACATTGACAGTTGAAAAACAAGATTTGACAGTGGGACAAGCACAAATGTCTACCTTGGAATGAGAGAAATGGTAACTGCTTGTTTTCACAAATCTGGTTTTAAAGTCAGATTAAGATGTAAAAGTGTAGCCGTCTTTTCCACAGGCTAACATTAACCTAAGACACAGGCTCTCGTTTCATCAGGAAGAGGTTTCAGGCGGCTACACTCCGGTGACCGGCTGAAGTAGGTCTGTTTGGTGCTCAGGTTTCAAGGAGCACCTGCAGGAATGTGCCCGATGCCAATGTCCAGCCTCGTTTTCCCCAAGATGAAAGAGGCGCAAACTGATGAAAATTGGACAAAACTGCAAATGACATTCAGGGCCATGGAGAGCAGCAGCTAATCCTACAGAGTGAAAGACAATACGGCCTTTGTCATATGAGCAGGTGGGGTTCGATTCCCACAAGCTCAGTGCAGCTCCAAACGCAAGTCTCAATGTAATGAGTTCAGCCAGAGGAGATAAAGATAACTTTAGTTTACCTTGTGACCAAACTTTAGGAAGTCGCAGGGGAAAGATGATACCAGAGGTTAAGTTAATTATTCGGTCTTTATTGAACTTACAAAAGCCACTCAGAAAAAGCATCATTTTCACATAGATATTACAAAAATCCTAAAATCTTTTTACATACAACCCTTTGTGCCAAAAGGCTCCAGTAGACATTTCAGAGGGTACATGGCCCGTTTTACAGACGTGATCATTTCCCACAGAGGAATGTAGTCCATCCAGCGCATCATGGAGCTGGGCCATGACCTGGGCACTCGGGTTGGCCCAACTCTAAACTCCAGGGAGGGGGAAATCGTAAATTTTACATCAAAAATAAAGTTTGGGGCCATTTCCAGTCCAGTGTTGGCGTTGGAAGTCCAGTGCACAGACTCGTCCGCAGGTTTAGAACCATCCGTGAAGGAGACCCAGAGCCAGAGCCAGCAGCAGCACGGAGCCCTCAGTCCGCCCTCCGGAGCTCTTGTCCTGGGTGCTGTTCCCTGTCGTGTTGTGGTGGAGCATCGTTGTGTTTGCGGCCATAGGAGCCATCGTAGTGTTCCGAGCCTGGGCCTGGGCCTGTGAACGCAAACACACCATGAGGCTCTTAGTCCAAAACTTCAATTCAGATGAACTCAAACTTCAAAAGTAAGTAATGTTTATTTATATAGCGCATTTTACAGATCAAGGTCACCTAAAGCGCTTTACAATGTTCAGAAAAGAGAACACAAGTTGGCAAAACTATACTTAAGCCCTACAACTAAAAGAAAAAGAACGTACCTGAGATGTGAGATGAAGGGCGATCAGAAAAACTCCGAGGAAAACAAGGCACAACTTGTTCATGTTGTCTGGTGATGGGTCAGGTCTGGTCGTGGAGAAAGACGGGGATGTGATGTTTGAAACGAGAGACGCGCATTTGGGTTTTATACCCTGTGACCTCATTAGGACAGACCCACCTGCTCAGCATCAGCTGCGTTCACGGACCGTCAGAAACCAGAGCTTCTCATGTTCATCACATCCACGACTCAATAACATCAATGTGTTATTTCTGTATTATTTAGGATAACCTTTTCTATAGCTCGATTATTAATATTCACAGTCTATGGTTATTTTATCATGAACATAAAACGTTTTGTTGTAAGTGTCGCCTTCATTCGACGTCATTCGAACATTTGACATTTAACTTGAACCATTTTCGGAACAATAACAGTTCGGGAGTCACATAAGAACGTATTTAGAATATACTGTAAATGTTAAATAGTATCATAGACTTTAAGGAACAGCTCCCTCTTGTGACTATTTCTCAACACCACAACTTTTTGACACGTAATTTGGTCCTCTGTACTACCCGTAGTTGTCATTTACGGAGCTCCTTCCGGGAAACACACACTGCAGAGAACAGTGAGTTATAAACAAACCCAGAGGCACAAAGCCTCTCACAGACCACAGCTTTGTCCGAGTGTGAGCAGTCTGTCTGCGGCATGCTGCTGTGTCGGGGGCCGGTGTTGACCCAGGCTCTGGGCCGATGGAGGTCACAGCGGGGAGGGGGCCTCCTCTACCGGGCTGCTCCTCTCTGCTCCAGTCGGTGTCACGGAGTTAACACCGGGGAAAGCCCTTCCCAGGCGGCAGAGCCAGGGCAGGTCCAGGGCATTTACCGTGAATCGGTGCTTCTTCCCAGGACTGACTTTCCCATGAAGCTGGTGGGACAGAAGCTCCTGAGCAAAGAGGAGGAGATCCAGAAGGTACCAACACACATACCCACTGTGACTACACACAATGCTACACACATTGTTATGAAAGACATGTGTGTGTCCAGGTCTGTGGCTTTGCAGAGCTGTACACTTGGCAGAGAGAGAGAAAAGCCAAGAAGGAGTTCTGTCTGCATGATGGACCTCCATACGCCAACGGGGACCCTCACGTTGGACATGCCCTCAATAAGGTAACGTTCTTATAGCTTTGAGTAACGACAAAATGCACGTTGTATATCTGTTATGTTTTTAATTCAGATCCTGAAAGATATCCGCAACCGCTTTGAGATGCTGCGGGGGCGACAGGTCCACTATGTTCCTGGTTGGGATTGTCATGGTTTGCCCATTGAGCTCAAGGCTCTTGGAGAACTTGGGTCGAGTGGACTGAGCCCTCTCCAGATCCGGCAGAAAGGTACAAATCAAGTCTAAACAACAATATTAGACACAAATATGAACTACAGATTATTTCTCCAGCTCGAGAGTTTGCTGAGAAAGCCATCGCCCGGCAGAGAGAGGCCTTCCAGCGTTGGGGTGTGATGGCGGACTGGACTCACTGCTACTTCACCTACGATGGCGCCTACGAGGCCGCTCAGCTCAAGGTGTTCCAGGAGATGCACAATAAAGTGAGGACGCTGATGCACTTCAAGTTTATACTTTTTAAACACAAAGCTCTAATATTCACACATTTACTCTAGGGGCTGATATACCAGGATTACAAGCCAGTGTTTTGGTCCCCTTCCTCTAGGTACTATTTTATATAATCATTTCTGCTATCACTAAATGGTACTTTATTACATTAAGTATATGGTTTTCCTTCATAATGACCTTGTACTGCGTGTCCTTGGAGAATGTGTTTACTTCTGTACTGTCACACTGTAGAACGGCTCTAGCAGAGGCTGAGCTGGAGTATAACCCGGAGCACAGGAGCAGAGCTGTCTATGCCACGTTTCCATTGGTGAAGTTTCCCACAAGTTTCCCCAAAGAAGCAGGTACAGCCAATCTTTGGACATAACAATAACTTTGGAAAAACCAGATGCATTGCTGTAAGTGTTAATGTGTTAATGCAGGTGCTAATTTTCAACACTAGTCCACAAGGGCTTTTACATTACAGAAGATGAAATACATTTTTAAAGAATTATAATATAATTTACATGTGAGAACGAGTCTGTTTGGATCTTAGCCACGGTTTGAGCTCTCTGCTGAAGATGGTCATGTTAGTCACATATTAGTCTGTAGTTTTAGCCCAGTTTGGAGAGAGCTCCACAGTTTAACCCTAAAGGAGAAGCTACTCCTCACTGACGGAGGTTCAGGCGGAGGTTCAGGCGGAGGTTCAGGCGGAGGTTCAGGCGGAGGTTCAGGAGGAGGTTCAGGTGGAGGTTCAGGTGGAGGTTCAGGCGGAGGTTCAGGAGGACGTTCAGGAGGACGTTCAGGAGGACGTTCAGGAGGAGGTTCAGGCGGAGGCTCAGGCGGAGGTTCAGGTGGAGGTTCAGGCGGAGGTTCAGGCGGAGGTTCAGGCGGAGGTTCAGGAGGAGGTTCAGGAGGAGGTTCAGGAGGAGGTTCAGGAGGAGGTTCAGGCGGAGGTTCAGGCGGAGGTTCAGGCGGAGGTTCAGGAGGAGGTTCAGGAGGAGGTTCAGGAGGAGGTTCAGGAGGAGGTTCAGGCGGAGGTTCAGGAGGAGGTTCAGGAGGAGGTTCAGGAGGAGGTTCAGGCGGAGGTTCAGGTGGAGGTTCAGGAGGAGGTTCAGGAGGAGGTTCAGGTGGAGGTTCAGGCGGAGGTTCAGGAGGAGGTTCAGGAGGAGGTTCAGGCGGAGGTTCAGGCGGAGGTTCAGGCGGAGGTTCAGGAGGAGGTTCAGGAGGAGGTTCAGGAGGAGGTTCAGGAGGAGGTTCAGGCGGAGGTTCAGGTGGAGGTTCAGGAGGAGGTTCAGGTGGAGGTTCAGGTGGAGGTTCAGGAGGAGGTTCAGGAGGAGGTTCAGGTGGAGGTTCAGGTGGAGGTTCAGGAGGAGGTTCAGGAGGAGGTTCAGGAGGAGGTTCTGGCGGAGGTTCAGGAGGACGTTCAGGAGGAGGTTCAGGCGGAGGTTCAGGCGGAGGTTCAGGAGGAGGTTCAGGAGGAGGTTCAGGAGGAGGTTCAGGTGGAGGTTCAGGCGGAGGTTCAGGAGGAGGTTCAGGAGGAGGTTCAGGAGGAGGTTCAGGCGGAGGTTCAGGCGGAGGTTCAGGAGGAGGTTCAGGTGGAGGTTCAGGAGGAGGTTCAGGCGGAGGTTCAGGCGGAGGTTCAGGCGGAGGTTCAGGCGGAGGTTCAGGCGGAGGTTCAGGAGGACGTTCAGGAGGACGTTCAGGAGGAGGTTCAGGAGGAGGTTCAGGCGGAGGTTCAGGCGGAGGTTCAGGAGGAGGTTCAGGAGGAGGTTCAGGTGGAGGTTCAGGTGGAGGTTCAGGCGGAGGTTCAGGCGGAGGTTCAGGTGGAGGTTCAGGCGGAGGTTCAGGTGGAGGTTCAGGCGGAGGTTCAGGCGGAGGTTCAGGCGGAGGTTCAGGCGGAGGTTCAGGCGGAGGTTCAGGAGGAGGTTCAGGCGGAGGTTCAGGAGGAGGTTCAGGAGGAGGTTCAGGAGGATGTTCAGACGGAGGTTCAGGAGGAGGTTCAGGCGGAGGTTCAGGAGGACGTTCAGGCGGAGGTGGTAACTCTTCTAACTCATGTTCTTTGTGTGTGTGTGTGTGTGTGTGTGTGTGTGTGTGTGTGTGTGTGTGTAAAGCTGAGGGCGACGTGTGTGTGTTGGTGTGGACGACACAACCTTGGACCTTTCCTGCCAATCAAGCCGTTTGCTACATGCCTAATGCTCAGTAAGTTTATAATGTTATTCTTGTTTATGGATGCATTCACTGACCCACCATCGTTAGCGAGTTGGTGTGTAAGGTCTAAATGTTAAATAAATCTTTCTTGGATGCAGTTAGAAGCCGCGTGTAAGGAAAATGTTTTGTTGTGCAGGTATTCTGTGGTGAGACGGGAGGATAACAATAAAACTCTCCTTTTGGCCTCAGAGCGTCTGGCCTCTGTGTCTGCTCTGCTCGGCACAAGGCTGGAAACTGTGGCCACGTTTACAGGTAGGATGTTAGCTTAGTCATGGTGTTAGCTTAGCCGTAGCACCAACTGGAAACCACCCCCTCCCCTCCCTCTCCACCAAGCCACTCCCCCCTCCCCTCCCTCTCCACCAAGCCACTCCCCCCTCCCCTCCCTCTCCACCAAGCCACTCCCCCCTCCCCTCCCTCTCCACCAAGCCACTCCCCCCTTCCTTCTCGACCAAGCCACTCCCCCCTCTCCACCAAGCCACTCCCCCCTCCCCTCCCTCTCCACCAAACCCCTCCCCCCTCCCCTCCCTCTCCACCAAACCACTCCCCCCTCCCCTCCCCTCTCCACCAAACCCCTCCCCCCTCCCCTCCCTCTCCACCAAACCCCTCCCCCCTCCCCTCCCTCTCGACCAAGCCACTCCCCCCTCCCCTCCCTCTCGACCAAGCCACTCCCCCCTCCCCTCTCTCTCCACCAAACCACTCCCCCCTCCCCTCCCTCTCCACCAAACCAAACATCCAGCATTTTCTTTCCTTTGTCACAGGGAGAGTGAAGCAAACGTGAAATAGGCCTTTTCTGTTCAGCCATTTTAGGTTTTAGTAAATCCGATAACTCCGGTGCACTCTGAGAAACAGGAAGAGGCTGAAGGCGGTAAACGCATCCCATTGGTTTGTTTTTATCTGTCCGCTCCAAAATATTAATAATAATAATAGTTTTATTAATGTTTGTAGCCTATAGACATCTGGTTAATTCCATTACTATTTGAAAACACATGATGTGGACGTTTTCCACAATATTTAAAAAAATGCATCTGGAAAAAATCACTGACTGTATCTTTAATCTTCCTGAATAAATAAATAAATGTTGTTGTAACCGTTTCTTCTCAGGTTCTCAGCTCGAAGGTGGCGTCTGTAAACACCCCATAATCCCGACCAAAGAAGTCCCTCTGCTGCCAGCCAATCACGTGACGATGGCCAAAGGGACAGGGCTGGTCCACACGGCCCCCGCCCACGGCATGGACGACTACAGCGTCGCAACTCAGTTCAACTTATCTGTGGTACGTCCTGTTTGACTCTGGCTCATTTTACAATCTTTTTATATATTAACAATTACATGAATGTGTCTCTGTAGGAATGTTGTGTAGATGAAGATGGAAAGTTCACGGAGCAGGCGGGTCCTGAGCTGCAGAGTCTGTCTGTGATGAGCGAAGGGACTGATAAAGGTGTGTGTGTGTGTGTGTGTGTAGAGTGTGTGTGTGTGTGTGTGTGTAGAGTGTGTGTAGAGTGTGTGTAGAGTGTGTGTAGAGTGTGTGTGTAGAGTGTGTGTAGAGTGTGTGTAGAGTGTGTGTGTAGAGTGTGTGTAGAGTGTGTGTAGAGTGTGTGTGTGGTGTTTTGACCTCCCTGTGTGTTCCAGTGATGGCGATGCTGAGTGAGAGTGGTGCTCTGGTCAAAGAGGAGTTGTGTGTCCATAGTTATCCGTACGACTGGAGGACCAAGCAGCCTGTCGTGATCCGACCGAGCAAACAGTGGTTTATCAACACGGCTTCACTCAAAGACAAAGCAAAGGTACATCTCTGTCTGCAGAAGAAACACTTCCTACCAGAATATAAGAAACACTCACAACGAGGATATATAACTACACAAGTGAAAACAAATTCAATGTCTATAAACTTAAAGATTCCCAAAAAAGTATAAAAGATGTACTGAACTCTGCAAAAGGGTAGTATTATTAGTGATAAAGAATGTACAGTCAATGGGAGGAGTCCATGGGAGGAGTCCATGGGAGGAGTCCATGGGAGGAGTCCATGGGAGGAGTCCATGGGAGGAGTCCATGGGAGGAGTCCATGGGAGGAGCCAATGGGAGGCTTAGTGGCTAAAGTGAGGTATCAGAGGACACTGTCACTCCCGTATTCGCCCCGGAAGTTCAGTTTGATCCATTGATCATACGCAGCAGTAGATTACGTCACAGAATCTGGACGGAAGCGGAAGTAAATATAAAAAACTACCTTTTCATGCCTAAACTTAACCAGCTATTCCCATAAAATAACCCCAACCCTTAACCCTAACCTTAACCATCTTACTCAGACCACCTTAACCCTAACCTTAACCATCTTACTCAGACCACCTTAAATCTAACCTTAACCATCTTACTCAGACCACCTTAACCCTAACCTTAACCATCTTACTCAGACCACCTTAACCCTAACCTTAACCATCTTACTCAGACCACCTTAAATCTAACCTTAACCATCTTACTCAGACCACCTTAACCCTAACCTTAACCATCTTACTCAGACCACCTTAACCCTAACCTTAACCATCTTACTCAGACCACCTTAACCCTAACCTTAACCATCTTACTCAGACCCACCTTAACCCTAACCTTAACCATCTTACTCAGACCACCTTAACCCTAACCTTAACTATCTTACTCAGATCACCTTAACCCTAACCCTAACCATCTTACTCATACCACCTTAACCCTAACCTTAACCATCTTACTCAGACCACCTTAACCCTAACCTTAACCATCTTACTCATACCACCTTAACCCTAACCTTAACCATCTTACTCAGTCCACCTTAACCCTAACCTTAACCATCTTACTCAGACCACCTTAACCCTAACCTTAACCATCTTACTCAGACCACCTTAACCCTAACCTTAACCATCTTACTCAGACCACCTTAACCCTAACCTTAACCATCTTACTCATACCACCTTAACCCTAACCTTAACCATCTTACTCAGTCCACCTTAACCCTAACCTTAACCATCTTACTCAGACCACCTTAACCCTAACCTTAACCATCTTACTCATACCACCTTAACCCTAACCTTAACCATCTTACTCAGACCACCTTAACCCTAACCTTAACCATCTTACTCAGACCACCTTAACCCTAACCTTAACCATCTTTCTCAGACCACCTTAACCCTAACCTTAACCATCTTACTCAGACCACCTTAACCCTAACCTTAACCATCTTACTCAGACCACCTTAACCCTAACCTTAACCATCTTACTCAGACCACCTTAACCCTAACCTTAACCATCTTACTCAGACCACCTTAACCCTAACCTTAACCATCTTACTCAGACCACCTTAACCCTAACTTTAACCATCTTACTCAGACCACCTTAACCCTAACCTTAACCATCTTACTCAGACCACCTTAACCCTAACCTTAACCATCTTACTCAGACCACCTTAAACCTAACCTTAACCATCTTACTCAGACCACCTTAACCTAACCTTAACCATCTTACTCAGACCACCTTAACCCTAACCTTAACCATCTTACTCAGACCACCTTAACCCTAACCTTAACCATCTTACTCCTAACACCTTAACCCTAACCTTAACCATCTTACTCAGACCACCTTAACCCTAACCTTAACCATCTTACTCAGACCACCTTAACCCTAACCTTAACCATCTTTCTCAGACCACCTTAACCCTAACCTTAACCATCTTACTCAGACCCACCTTAACTCTAACCTTAACCATCTTACTCAGACCACCTTAACCCTAACCTTAACCATCTTACTCAGACCACCTTAACTCTAACCTTAACCATCTTACTCAGACCACCTTAACCCTAACCTTAACCATCTTACTCAGACCACCTTAACCCTAACCTTAACCATCTTACTCAGACACCTAAAACTTAACCAGTCACCATTTAAGGACTTATTACACTTTTTGACATGCGCAAACTGAACTCCCGGATGAATCCGTTTTCCGGGACGAATACGGGAGTGACAGACACAAGTTATATCTCATCCCTCCTGACCACCAGAGGGCGGTGTATAGCACTGAATGTTCCTGTACACACAGGGAACATTCAGTGCTATGCATCGCCCTCTGGTGGTCATCTGGGATTCATAGAACTATGGTTACATACGTAACCTTTGTTTTAATCCAGGTCAAATCAAACTCTAAGACGTCCTCCTCCTATTCCTATATAAATAAATATGACTTCCTTCCTTCCTTCCTAGGAGGTCCTGCAGAAGGTGCGTATCATGCCCGAGTCGGCCCGCAGCAGCATGTTGTCCCAGTTGGACAGAAGGACGTACTGGTGCATCTCTCGACAGCGGAGCTGGGGGGTCCCGATCCCAGTCTTCTACCATAAAGAGACCGGAGAGCCTCTGATGAACAAGTGACTGCAGCTCCTGCTCTGACATGTTTGACATCTCTGCAAAGCTTATATCTGGTGTTTCTGTTTGGACAGACACACCGTATCTCACATCGCTTCACTGTTTAAGGAAAAAGGCAGTGACTGTTGGTGGGAGCTTCCTCTAGAGACCCTGCTCCCTTCAGACGTCCTGAAGAAAGTCAGTTTGGGATTTATTTATTCCTATATAATCATTGTTTTAATGTCATTTATATCAGTTGTTCTGTTGTTTTGCCAGAGCAAGGCGGGGCCAGTGTCCGACTATATCCGCGGGGAGGACGTGCTGGACATCTGGTTTGACAGTGGGGCGTCCTGGGCTGCGGTCCTGGAAGGTACAACATCAACCCTTTTTACTTTGGACATTACTATCTTAGGAGTCCTTGTTTTAATCACGTATGAGAGAGTTTTTGGACACAGCCATTGTGCACATATCTTAATGTGTGTCGTTTTTAGAGGAGACGGAGGAGGGGTCTGAGGAGCCGGAGTCTCGCCTGAGCTGGCTCCCGTCTCCGCTGCGTAAACCTTTGACCACAGGTTCATTAAAGCCACAAACTTATCTATAACTCGGGCTTCTTTCTTATTTTGACTCGGGCATTCCCTTCTGCACACGCTCTGTCCTCGCTGTCACTGGGCAAAAGAAAAGGAGGAAGAAGAATGACTTTTCTCTAACACTTTTTATTATTGTTAGAGAAACTACACACAAGCTTTTACTTGAAAAGCTTGTGTGTAGTTTTGTGCATGCGACAAGTGGCTGGAGTTGTTTTAACCAAATTTTGTTCTACTTTTTGAACTATTTCCTCTTGTTTTTACTTCTGCTCTGAATGCATGGTTCTGGTTCACTAACAGCAGAGGCCTCATTTATCCACCCTTTTTCCAATTTGAAAAGATGTCACTATTGCACATGAGCAAATGTTTGACAAATGAGGCTCCGAGTGTAAAAATATATATTAAAGTTTTTATAATATTATTTATTCTATCATTCTGTGTCCTCCAGAGTCTGACTCCAGGGCAGACGTGTGTGTGGAGGGCAAGGACCAGCTCGGAGGGTGGTTCCAGTCCTCGCTTCTCACCAGTGTCGCTGTGAGGAACAAGGCGCCATATAAGTCAGTTGTGTTGTTATGAAGTTTACATGAGGATGAGGTTCAAACTATGATAATAATGGGTCATGTGTCTGCCTAAAATAATAATAATTTATAATAATAATCATAATAATAATGTGTCTGCACAGGTCTCTTGTGGTCCATGGATTTGCTGTCAGTGAAAAGGGAGAGAAGATGTCCAAGTCTGTGGGAAACGTTGTGGACCCCGACACTGTCATTAACGGAGGAAAGGTGAGTTTTAGTTCACACTTTTTTTATTGGCCATATTTCAATAATAATGCGGGCGGCACACTCAGCGAGTGGATACACTCAGCCACTCTCGCCTCTCAGCAAGAAGGCCAAAAGGTCGTCCAAAATTCTGCTGCAAGGCTTTTGACCCGCACCCACAGGAGAGCCCACATTACCCCTGTCTTAAAGGCCTTACACTGGCTCCCTGTCTCACACAGAATACATTTTAAAATTCTGGTGTTGACTTTTAGGGCCCTTCATGGTCAGGCGCCTGAATACATCCAGGGCCTGATCCATCCTTATGTCTCCAACAGGAGTCTGAGGTCCTCTACTCAGAACCTGTTGATGGTCCCCCGGACTCGTTTCAAAACCAGAGGAGACAGATCCTTCCAGGCAGTTGCTCCTCGCCTTTGGAATGAGCTTCCTCAGTCTCTGCGTATCGTAGAGACTGTTGATGATTTTAAGTCCCAACTAAAGACACATTTGTTTGGACAGGCTTTCTCGCACCATTGTTCTCACCTCACCTCTGTGAATGTAAATTGTGTTTTCTGTGTTTGTTTTATCTGACTTGTGTGTGTATTTTGTATTTTAATGTGTGAAGCGCTTTGTGACCCTGGTCTGTGAAAGGCGCTATACAAATAAACTTTACTTACTTACTTACTTACTTAAGGTCCTGGGTTCGAATCCCGGTCGGACCAGGGCCTTTCTGAGTGGAGTTTGCATGTTCTCCCCATGTCTGCGTAGGTTTCTTCCGGCTGCTCCGGTTTCCCCTACCACTAAAAATATGTACAATAGGTCTGTGCCTCCTGTACTGGCCCCGCTCCCATCTCTGTGTGGAGTGAGAGACAAATTCCCAAAAATCCATCCATCCATTTTCTACCCTTTAATCCATTTCTGGGTCAGGGGGTGGCAGTCAGAGATGCCACCCAAGTCTCATAGCACCAGCCCCTCACTGACCCTCTGCAGGTGGTGAGTCCACAGGAGGACGGCTGCTCTCTGACTGTGAGCATAGCCTTGATCTTTCAGTGGGGGCTTTGGGCAAAGTGGGGTTAAGTGTCTTGCCCAAGGACACAACGACAGCAGTCATCAGTGGGAGTCGGTGGAGAAGGTGTAGAGGTGGGAATTGAACCCACGACCTTCTGGCCATAAGGCCAATGCTCTACCAACTGAGCTACTGTCGCCTCTGAGCTACTGTAAGTAATATAAATAAAGATTACTTACAATAACAAAAACATTTATTGTGGTGGTGTGAATGTCAAATATCAAGTAAACGGGTTTCAATTTGTTACATAATTGAGCCACTCTGGAGTTCATGCAATGTCAACTTTATCTGTATAGCACATTACAACACCAGCCCAAAGTGCTTCACAGGCTCAAAGATAAAAAACAGCATAAAACACATATCTGTAAAAGTGAAATGGTAAAACTCATTGGTGTTAAAAACTAAGACGTAAAAATGTGTCTTTAGCCTAGACTTTAAAACTTCCAGTGAAGGAGCGGCTCTGATGAACAGAGGTCAGTATTCCAGCAACAGAAAAGGCTCTGTCGCCTAAAGTCACTGATGTGACAGGAGCAGACACAGATCACAGCTCTGACAGATATACAGGGCAAACCATTCAAACACTTAAAAACAAGCATCAGAATCTTAAAATCAACCCTGAATGTAACAGGAGCCAGTGAAGTGAGGCCAGCACGGGGGTGATGTGTCCCCGTGAGAGCGAGGGAGCCTGGGAATTTTCAAGAACGGTAGAACAGCCCAGAAAGGAGAGGATAAATAACCTCATCTAAAACTACCGTAACAAGAGAAGTTTATGTTTATGTGACACTAAATTCACTTCCAACATCACCGTGTGTGGAAGGATTGGAACAATATCTGACTCTGAACATTGTAAAGTGCTTTGGGTCTGTACCTGGGTCTGTAACATGTGCTATATAAATAAACATTACTTACTTACTAAATGGTCTCAAACAATCACAATGCATGACAAAAAAAAAAGTTTACGTCATCATTCATAATCTCCAGAGTTTGGTAAAAGAATCTAATTTTCAGCCCAAGTGTGTACAATTTCAAGCTCATCTATGTTTCATCATTTCTAAAACAAAGTGCTTTTCTTCAGGACGTGAGCGCGCCCGCCTATGGGGCCGACGTGCTGCGATGGTGGGTGGCAGAGTCCAACGTCTTCTCGGAGGTTCACATTGGGCCCAGTGCGCTCAACTCGTCCAGAGAAAGCATCCACAAGGTACCGCCCGCAGCAGATCAGCCTCTGTATTTCAGATTAAACAGTTGAATCTGTCGTTGGCAGTTGAGAAACACCTTGAAGTTTCTTCTTGGAAACCTCCACGGCTTCGACCCTCGCTCTCAGGCTGTGGACCCCAAAGACATGCACTACATCGACCAGTACATGCTGCACTTGTTACGGGAATACAGCATCAAGGTCCGCCACGTTCTCAGGCGTCCACAAAAACACTCATTCTTCCTATTGTCATTTTCAACCCATGTGTCTGTGCAGGTGACTGATGCCTACAGTGAGTTTGACGCCGGTCGGGTCATACGGCTCCTTCAAGCTTTTATCAGCGGAGACCTGTCTAGTTTTTATTTTAGCATCATCAAAGACCGGTAACTTTAATATCCACTGATGGTCCAAAAACCTTTCTTTGTTCTGACTCATTTCCAAAATCCTCTCAGGCTTTACTGTGACCCTGAAGACTCGTTGGGACGCAGGTCGTGTCAAACGGCTCTAGAAGAGATTTTAGACGGAGTAACCCGATCGATCGCTCCTGTCCTCCCACATCTGGCAGAGGAGGTGTATCTTAACGCCCCGGGACACGACGGTACATGTTGTTTGGGAGGTCTTCTGCGCTGTTTCACATTCATGACAAAATTTACCGCTGTTGCAGAGGCAGAGACGCTGTTTAAAAGTGGCTGGATCAAGAGTAGCTCTGTGTGGAGGCGGCCGGGGCTGGAGGAGGCCGTGGAAGGAGCCTGCGCCATTCGAGATTCTTTCCTCGCATCGATTCCAGGGAAAAACGCGGCGCTGTACGACCTGACGATCGCTATAGAGCCCGGTCTGCTGTTTGAGCTCATGGAGGTAAGAAAACAGAAACAGATTGAATCCAACGATGTGTGAATAATGTTTTTGTTGCAGTCTCTCCAAGTGGAGCCTGTGTCCACGTCCTCTCAGCTGGTGGAGCTGATGATGTGTGCTAAAGTGAACCTGACCAGTGCCCTGCCCCGGGACCTGCCCTCGGACGCCCTGCGGAGTCATGGGACGTTCCTTATTAACCTGGAAGGTAAAGTCTTTTCTGTGTGGGAGGTTTTGGTCGGAGTATAACTCTCTCCATCTGCAGGAGTGATCCGTGAGGACAGCCCGTACAGCATCGCGGTGGTGCCCTCCTCCGCGGCCCGCTGTCCCCGGTGCCGGCGCTTCACTTCAGACTCTACAGACTGTTTATGTCCGCGCTGCCAGAGCGTCCTGGCACAGACCCAATGACCTTCACAGAAACTAACATTTTACCGACGCAGTGGGGGAAGTATCTGATATATGCTGCAGAGTGATTTTATTGGCTAATGCTCAGCAGTGATGTTGCTTTGAAGTCATTACAGATTTAAGGTGGAATGTTTTTGTTCAGGCAGAAGTCTAAGAATCTGATGGAACATTTGAGTTTAATAATGTCACTATGTGACACCTCAAGGTAATGTTTAAAATGGGTGATTTATTTTCTATGTGGTTGATACAAAAACATTGTTTTATTGTAATTGTGATGAGAAGTGTCTTGGCCTAAAGTGAAAGTGAATGATGGACACGAAAACACGAGTTTGAGTAACTGCTTTATTCTGCATTATCCCGGCGTCTGCATATAAAAATAAACTATTTGATTTGTTACAACAAAGCAATATGTGAAACTTATGGCACTAAAGACTTTTCAGAAAGAAAGTTAATCCATTACAAACCTTTATATTTTATACATGCAAAAAACTGAAAATAAAAAGGTTAAAACATTTTCATGATGAATCAGACACCGCTTTATTTTAATCCTGCTCAGTTCCTCAAACTTAAAAGACAGAATGTGTGAAGTGATGCAGGTCTGTATCTCATGTTCACACAACGACATTATAACAGTTTAAACATGATGTCGAAGATTAAGTTGTTAAAAAACAGTTCTATATTAATGCTACAGTTTAACCCGGGTCAATCGTCGGGGGTCAGAGCCTCCACTGCCTCCAGCAGCTGCAGGGCCAGGCCGTACTGAGCGTGGTTCTCTGGGAGGATCTCCGTCACTCGACTGATCAGTCTGTGGTTCTGAGACAACAGGGCGGCGGGAGAACGCAGCTCACTGGGGTCCTGCTCAGACGGAGCACAGGGATTATCACAGGGATTCTCATACAGTATCACAGGGATTATCATGGATTATCACAAGGATTCTCATACAGTATCACAGGAATTATCATACAGTATCACAAGGATTATCACAGGGATTTTCATACAGTATCACAGGAATTATCATACAGTATCACAGGGATTATCACAGGGATTCTCATACAGTATCACAAGGATTATCACAGGGATTTTCATACAGTATCACAGGAATTATCATACAGTATCACAGGGATTATCACAGGAATTATCATACAGTATCACAAGGATTATCACAGGGATTCTCATACAGTATCACAGGGATTATCACAGGAATTATCATACAGTATCACAGGAATTATACAGTATCACAGGGATTATCACAGGGATTCTCATACAGTATCACAGGGATTATCACAGGAATTATACAGTATCACAGGGATTCTCATACAGTATCACAGGGATTATCACAGGGATTCTCATACAGTATCACAGGGATTATCATACAGTATCACAGGGATTCTCATACAGTATCACAGGGATTATCACAGGGATTCTCATACAGTATCACAGGGATTATCATTTTATGATGATGTAAAAATAATTTACTGTGTCAAATATCTTTGCTCTTTAAATACTGATTCAGATATTGATCAATAGAAGAGGACTTAATCTGGGTAATCTGACACATCCTGCTCTTTAATCTGGGTCTTTATAATTTCCCAGTATCTCCCACTTGACTGTGTCCTGGATTAGACTCACCATCGCTTTGAGCCATGTGCAGAGGGTGGGGGGCAGACGGGCCAGCAGCTCCATGGAGGGCGGGGTCTGACTCTGACTGTGCAACAGAGAGAAGCTGAGTCTCTGCCCGGTCAGAACCAACAACTGAGAACCAAGAACGTCCTTATCCTCCACCTCCAGCATCGCCTCCAGACCAGAGCAGAGGAAGAAAAACCAGAAACACTCATTCTCTTCAGTCCATCAGGTTTATATCAGTCATTAAAGGAGCTATATCCGTTTCTGGTAAGGTTTGAATGTTTAGCCCCGCCCCCAACTCGCTCACAGGTTTCTCATTTCCCCTACGCTCTCCTCCCACGGAGCCATCTAGTTTTATTTGTGATCTGTATGCTAACATTAGCATTAGCGCAACTTGTTGTAAGCTGTACAACCATCACAGATGAAATGGTACAAAAGCAACGCACTGCTAACAAAATATATAACTGAAGGATAGTGTCACGTCCGAATTAGGGTTTAATACCGGAACACGGGCTTCCCGGGAAATCTGATCAAAACTGTTTCCCGATTCCCGGGAAATGTTATGACGGGAAATGAAAGTTGAAAAAAAATCCAGCGCCCTCCTTTTATAGTGCGCGTTTATTGTTGTTCAAAGTCCAATGACGATATGAATGATCAGGAGGTGAATGTTAGAAAGAGCCGGCTGCAGCGAAACACGAGAGGTTTATGGAGGAGACAGTTTGTTTTACTTTTTAAAACTCTTTGGACTTATTTCCAAATGGAGGATCACATATCTTAAACTGGTCTGAACTGAAGCGCAGACGGTCCGAGCGCAGACGGTCCGGGCGCAGACGGTCCGGGCGCAGACGGTCCGAGCGCAGACGGTCCGAGCGCAGACGGTCCGAGCGCAGACGGTCCGAGCGCAGACGGTCCGAGCGCAGACGGTCCGAGCGCAGACGGTCCGGGCGCAGACGGTCCGAGCGCAGACGGTCCGGGCGCAGACGGTCCGGGCGCAGACGGTCCGAGCGCAGACGGTCCGAGCGCAGACGGTCCGAGCGCAGACAGTCCGAGCGTAGATAGTCCGAGGCGGTCCCGCAGGTCTCTCCCTCAGACCAGTCTCTCCAGAGGATACGATGTAAGCTAGCTCTGTTCAGGGCTTGGTTTCTTCTTTGATCATGTTGTGGCTTTAGTTCCTCTTCTCTTCCTCACTGTTGTGTGGTTTGGGCTGTTTTGCTGTGTCTGCAGTTACAGCCAGAGGAGTTATAGCCACTTATGCTAACATGCTACTGTGTTTAGCAGCGCTGTAGAGGCTAGAGGACGCAGCCTGTTCTGTGATTGGAGGAGAGCGGGCGTCACGCTAAGTCTCTACTCAGCACTTTTTACGCCTGAATTGATACACAGCTGAATCAATGAGCTCAAGTTTTACATTAGATTACGGATTATAATACAATTTAGTAGTAATACGCATTTTTATGAACTCATTAGAAAATCAATGGGGCATAGCTTCTTCAACATTCTTACATGCTCTCCCGTACCTGTTCACCTCGGACATCCAGCCCCTGATTGTAGAGTTCATACACCAGGTGGCGCCGCAGGATGTCGAGGTTGACCTGCAGCAGAGAGGCCAGGTCCAGGCACAGAGAGGGCCAGCAGTCCCCCATGGTCGGGTCAGAGGTCACAGAAGTGTCTATGGCCTGCACCCAGCTCGTCAACACTCGCAGAAGAAACTGTTTCCCCACAGAGCAACGACATTATATTCCAGGTTCATATATTGTTCATATTTATCTGAGGAGAACCTTACATCTTGTCGAAGCGAGACAATTGCAGGGTCCATGTCTCCGTTGGGCATTAGTTGGATCGATGTTAGGTCCCGGAAGAAAGCATTCTTACCCTACAAAAGAAACGACATTAAAGATGCAGTCAGGGATTTTGTCCAGACGCATTTTAAATATCAGATTTTCTAAAACCTAAAATGGCTGAACAGAAAATACCAATTTCACGTTTGCTTCAAGAAAAGAAAATGCTGGATGTTTGGTTTGGTGGAGAGGGAGGGGAGGGGGGGAGTGGTTTCCAGTTGGTGCTACGGCTAAGCTAACATACTACACCTTTAATATGTATTTTGATGTTTATTACTTAGTTTCTAGGGTTGTAGTAAACCAAGGAAATGCTTGGTCAATGATTTTACTAAAAATGCTCTAAATACTATATACCAACATGTTATGACAAAAATGGCTATTTTGGCCCAGACACTGAAAGTATAAATGGCGGGTGTCTACCTTGCTGTCGAAGAGGCTCAGGGGTTTGACTTTCAGACTGAAGGTCATGGCGGCGTGCAGCAGGGAGGCGAGCAGGCAGTGATGCTGAACCAGCGGGTAGTGAACCCCCCTCTGCTCCAGGGCCAGCTCCGCGATCGAGACCGGACCCTCAGCGCCGCTCCAAACCTCCTCCACGGAAACCTCGGGCGCTGCCTCCTCGTCCACCGCAGAGTCGGCCTGATACAAACACAACTTCACTCATTCACTGCCACTGACGTCTATAATGTGTTTAAAATTAACTATACATTAAAAATACAATTATAAGTATTGTTTCTGTTTTGTGTCTTAATAAGAAACTGTCAAACATTCTAAAATATCAGTAAAGAAAATAAAAAAAACACACTTTTCTGCTTGAAAATGTGTGTTTCACAAAAAGGCTGTTTTCTCCCAATCTTGGTCAGGAAACAGCATTCTGTGTGAAAGTTACTCTCAATTGCTAAAAAACTAAAAGGGTTAGAAACTTACTTATTTTTTTAAATGAAAGGCAAGAGACAGAGCTTTTATTTGGCATGTTTCACACTTTGAGTCAACCAAAGGCTCACATTTACATGAGGTTTGGAAAAAGACTAAAAATATCCAAAATCTCTGGCAGTATGAGGGATACTGGCGGTGAGTGAGTGAACAAGCAGCTTTGACATTAACATTAGCAAACAGCATTTCATTTCTACACGGTCAGCACTAGATCATATACGGAATCGGGACGGAAGCAGAAGTAAATACAACAAACTATATTTATGCCTAAACTTAACCAGCCATTCCCATAAAATAACCCTAACCTTAAACATCTTACTCAGACGCCTAAAACTTAACCAGTCACCATTTAAGACTAAAACTAATTCGAAAGTAGGAGTGTTACTTCCGGTTTTGTCCCGATTCCGTATATGATCTAGTGCCGACCATTTCTACACATGTCACTTCCACACACCAACAACAAACCAATCTCCCATTTTCAGTTTTGATCAGCACTCATTTAGTTGCAACTCCATTAGTATCAAACCGTGACGCAGATGTTCTCAAAGCCTTGGACTGACCATGCTGCAGTCGATGTTAGCCACAGTCCGTCTCCATGCCAGGTTTTGGTCCAGGTTTTGGTCCAGGTTTTGGTCCAGGTTTTGGTCCAGGTTTACTTACAAAGTATTTTAAAAAAGACAGATGGTACTCATTCTTAACCAATTGTCCAGTCACCTCCATCAGGATCTGCAGCAGCTGGACACAACTGCCCAGGAATGAGGTCAGAGCGCGGTCTCCCATCCCCACGTCCTGGACACACACATTTGTCACGGAACAGTCTAAACAACACACAACAAAACATCCCAAACGGAGACTCACTCTTCTACATAACCGGTCTTTGGGCGCTTTTCCGACCTAGAAACACATGGCATTAATGTGGTGTGTATACAAAATGAAATCAGAGATATCTAGGACTTATGGCGAACCTTTTCCATGAGAAAAGAAGTTGAAGAAAAACGCTTGACAATGAATGTACTCCACATCATCACCGAAATACCTGCGCATTTTGTATGATTAGGATGATTAGGATAAAGGCTTTTTAAATAGATAAAAACAGACATATATATATTACCTAGTTGGATATGTGGATTGGAGATCTGCTTTAAGTGTTCAACAGCCCACGACAAGTAACGTCCCTCCTACAATCAGATATTTGAGTACAAATATGACACATGTTTTACGGGAGTTGTGTACCTCTGGGTCCTTGTTCCACTGCACCACGTACTCCCAGCAGCAGTGGGCAAAGAGCAGGTCTGGGGACAGGGAGTTGGGAAAACGCTTGCACAGTGCAACCAGCAGCTCTGAAAAATTAAATATGTGTTTTAGTCGTTTTCAGATTCACTCCTCGACATGTTTTCAAACTGCTTTTTTTTCTCTCACCTTCAGTTTTTTCTTCACTTTTCTTTTCTTTTGATTCTGGATCCGTCTCTGCATCGTTAAAATAAACAATGTCTTTTAGTCTTTCCGGAGCCAAGTCGTGTCTGAAAACCCACTTGGAGACACTGTCTGCGACTCCACCTGCGCCGGACACAGTTATTACAGACTGTGGTAGATTAACAGCACTTTCACACTTGTTGGTCTCCTTTACTTTAACTGAACCAGATGTGGTTCAGTTGGGGCAAAAAAGTTAATATTTGTGGATGTAAAATCAGTCACTTTTGTAAAATCACAACTCACTTAGGTTAGTTTGCATCTTTAGAGTTATGTGACACAATTTCTTCAGGAGAACAAGGCCCGGACACAGTTTAAGTGAACCAAACCAACAAGAATGAACCTGAAGCTTCATTAGAACTCACCAGCTCCTCCCTCTAACAGTGTTTTGATGGAGCACTGTGCTACAGCGCCCCCTGTGGTCCCCTGAGGCGGCGGCAGGAGCAGCAGAGTCTGTAAAACCAGCACATCCTCCAGCTGTCGCACACACACCAGCCACTGCTCCAGCTCCAGAGAGACGGCCTCCCACTCCGACTGCAGCTGCCAACACCAAACAGGAAACACTAGAAATGTACATTCAGTTTCATTCGTTATATTAGACCAGGGCTGTGCCGAAACGGTTCTCAAAAGTGACCCATTTCCCCAGGTGAGTCCAGGTTTAACTAGGATATTTTGGGAAATGAATGGAGTCCCCCCTCATAGAACCGCTTTGACACCACACTGCATTACCTGCATTAGACCATTTCTGTACCTTCAATCAATCAATCTTTTTTATCTCAAACTTTGTTGTCAAATCCAGTGTCATGGCAGTTCATAATACATTGTACTTCTATGCTCATTTGAAAACAAATAACAAAACAATACAAAAATATAAAATATGAGAAGCATTACAAAATAGAAAAATAATAATAAGAAAGTTCGAAAGGGAGTGGGAAGAAGTAAATAGTTTTTAAATCCCAGCCCCAGCGCATAAATGTTTAGTGCTTAATGCATAGTAGATAAACACTTGTTGTTTTACCACATCAATAGATTTACAATTCTAATAACTCAAGCATAGATTACAATTCAATAACTTATCAGAATACGCAGTTGTTCATGTACAGACTCGAGAATAAGTACCTTGCTATCAGCTCGACTTGTGATAAAGGTCTTAGTAGCATGATGGGCGACAAAGGCAGCTAACAGAGCCGCTGCTGCATTGTGGGATTGGACACACGTGTTACGGACCTGCTGCCACCAGGGGGAGACAGACTGAGTGTCCCATGCTTCATCCACAGCTCCTGCAGCCAAAGAACTGTCAGTCAAAACACACAGACTCGATCTGGTTCTAACTCCCGGTAAAACGATGAAGACAAACCTTTCATATTACTGAGCGTCACAAGTAAAGTGTGTAAGTTTTGAACGGTCTCCTTAGGTTTCTGCAGAATCTCCTTCTCTCTTTTCAACCACATGCTCAGCAGCAAAGACTACAAAGACATCGCAGGTTGCATTAGTAAATGTAAGAGTGAGGCTAAATACAAATGTTTTATATGTTTACGTACCAATAACTGTTGTGGCGGGATCCCAACCTGCTCCAGAGTCTCACAAACTTTACTGATGGAGCTTTTCCCACACAGAGAACTCCAAAAGAAGAAATTACCTGCACATACACACACACATTCATACGATCTATTATGTATTATTGTTCAAGTAATCTTCTCTTAAAAAGGTATAAAAGGAGGATTTCCCCAAATGTTAGGAAAGAGCCGCTCTCTCCATATTTCAAACAAAACTCTCTGGTCTTATTGGTTTAGCGCGTATCACCAGAAAGATACGAAGGACAATAGGGACGACCAATAGTCTTGATGATCCACCCAGAAGTAGAAAATCCTCCTATACACCTTTAAATTAACTTTAGCTTACAATACAACCAGCGGTACTATAAGTTCTAAGCTTAACTCATGGACTGCCATTGACGTATTTGTCTGAAACCGGTGATTTCTGTCAAACTGGGGATTACAGGAGAACTAGCCAGAAAGAAACTAACTAATTTTTGCTGATGAAAGTAGACAGTCCAATATTTCAGAATCTGGTTTCATATTTCACGTAGTCATAGCACACAATATTCTGTGGGTCTTGAAAGTCAGTGAGATCATCAAAAACGTCTGGCAGTCATGAAGTCAAAGAGTCAGTAATGGAGCATACCTAACCGGTTCCATTCGGACTCCTCTTTGCAGCTGACGGTCAGACCTCCCTCCTCTGAGCTCTCCATGTGACAGAGAAAGGCCTGAGCGCTCATGGGCAGGTCTGGAGAGTCCTGAGCAAACGAAACACTGGGTCTAGTGTGGAGCTGAGCATAGCGCTGCAGGATGGAGGCCACGCGGGACAGGTCCTGGTGAATGTCCTCCAGAGTCTGAACCAAACATAAAAACTTACATTCACATAAACACGTATAATCGATAACCTGGATTTGGTCTATACTTCAAAGGAGGATTCTGTGGAGTCCGTGCAGGAGTTTAAGTTCTGAATGTCACAGAAAAGTCGAAGTAGTTTTAACCGCGATGAGCAAAACTGGAATAATGTTTCGTCGACTTCATCTGCGTCTGAGGAAAACAAATGTAAAATGGGTTAAAAAACAAGATTAATCCAAGTAAGAAATCACATCTCTGCTGAAAGCCCACCTTGATTCTTGAAGCTTTCATACAAAGTGTTTGTGATGTTGGCGAGGCACGAAACTGGGGCGCTCCTGTGGGACAGCAGGGACTCCAGGGCCTGAAGAAGACAATAACAATAATAATAAATTGGTTTTATACAGCGCTTTTCAGGACTCACAAAGAAGCTTTCTCTCCAAACACGGTGGTGATAAACTACTGTAGCCACAGCTGCCCTGGGGCACACTGACAGAAGCGAGGCAACCAGTCTGTGCCATCGGCCCCTCCCACCACCACCAACCATTCACACACACACCAGACTCATTCTAATGTGGGGGAAGTGTCTTGCCTAAGGACACAACCACAGTTTTGCACTTTACAGCCGCAGCCGCCCCACTGTGGCACCTGCTGTTCCCAGAGGTCTCCCATCACAGCACTAACCAGGCCCTGTCCTGCTTAGCTTCAGAGGTCTGACAGGATCTGATCACCATCATCATAAATCAAACATATTTATTCTTCTTTTACCTGTTTTTTAACGGCAGGATGTTTAATATCAAGCAACAAACTCTTTGCTTCATTCTCCAAGACGTCTGCAAACGATACAGAAGGTTTTAGAGACTTTCTCAGACAAACACTCCATGTGTTGAATCCCACCAGGTTCTAGATCCCGACTCTTGAGCAAAGCAGTGAATTTTTTAGAAAGGTGCATGTCTTTGGCCCGCTCACTCTTCTTGTCACTGAAGTATGAAGGAAAACCATGTTACTTAATCGTCTTTTTGAAACCACTTGTGTAAGTCCAGGCATTAATACATCCAGAGTCATTCGCCGACCTGAGAGCCAAGTGGAAAGGAATGTTGACGGTGCGTAGTGCTCCGTTGGTGGAGTCCAGGAGACAGACCTGCTGCGTGTGGAGCTGCCAGCCCTGACTGGTCACACTGTTCACTCCCATCAGACGATAGCCCGCATAAAGCAATCTGTCAAACACATACAATAAAGGCTTTTCAAATCTAGAGTCTCACACATTTACACGGCCTAAACTCATGCTTGTATCACAGCACCATAAATGAATACCTGCAGTGTTTCCCCACATTAAAGGCTCCTACTCTTGGTCCACGTTGCATGGCCCAGACTTCCAGAATTCCTCTTCTCGGGGCATAAATGATTAAAAACAAGGCGTGTCTCTTGGGGGTTGGAGAAGATGATACTTCCCGAATGCCTCGCTCTTCTGCAATCTGCATCCACCCCAGCTGTGCATCTCGGTAACCTGCAGCAACAAGCAAACTCCTTCAGGCAGGAGAAAACTAGCTGCGACAAACCGCTAGATAGACCCATAAACCATGTGCACACCACCTCAAGTACAGTTACCCTGGTCTTACCATGTGTAAACTCTGGTCCATGGTCATTTCCTACATGTACGTCTGGTCTTACCATGTGTAAACTCTGGTCCATGGTCATTTCCTACATGTACGTCTGGTCTTACCATGTGTAAACTCTGGTCCATGGTCATTTCCTACATGTACGTCTGGTCTTACCATGTGTAAACTCTGGTCCATGATCATTTCCTACATGTACGTCTGGTCTTACCAGCCAGGGCCAAATTCTTAGCCAAAAGGGATGTACCCGCCAACGTTGGGTGGATATCATCCGAGCGGATGAGACCGGGCTTTCCCCAAAAGGCACTCCAATTGTCAACATGAACAACACCACTTGGAGGGCACCAGCCAGACAGCCAGCGGTTGAAAGCCGAGTGTCTGCTGAATGCTTCTGCACTGCTAGTGCTAGGTAGGGGCCCAGAGAAGATGACAGTGTCGGCCATTGTGCTAGCCAGCTTGCACACGGCGGCGACTTGCAGCTTCAACACCTCGGACTGTTTCCGCCGAACGTCATTACCACCCGCGTGAATAACAATTCGACGGAAACGCTGCTTGTGTAGTAGCTTCTCAGCAAGAACATCCTGGGTTCGTGGGTCTTTCTGAGTGGAACTGCATGATCTCCCTGTGGTTTCCTCCAGGTGCTCCGGTTTGCCCTACCACTAAAACCATGTACAACAGGTCTCCATCTGTGTGTGTGGAGTGACAGACAAATGCCCTCTGATTGTAAAGTGCTTTGTGACTCTGGTCTGGGATAGATTACTTACTCACTCAGAATCTGCCCGAGACTTGTTTGCTCTGCAGTTAGCGGTGAGTGCAAGGCTAACATTGTGTTTGAGTGTTTCAATAGAAGCAAGTGTGCAGCAGCTGTTTGATAAGAGTTAGCGTTAGCAACGGTGACAGATTTCATTTGGCTGCAGTTAGTGCCGTGAACAAAAGTGCTTACTCTGCAGCGTCTACACTGACACACATTCAGGACTGAGAGCAGCACATCATGAAGAATCTCTTTGGTTTTTGCAAGAATGAGCCAAAACTATACTTTAATCAATATTTAATCTTTTATTTTGTTGAGGGGTATTTGCTGTCAGTCTCTTTCTCCTTCTCCTGGTGAGACCAATGACAGACATGAGGAACTAAACTTTTTAATGCTTCTTTTAAAGGAGCAGTCTGTAAACATGTGGCCAAAAGTGGTACTGCAGCCTCTCCCACTCTCCCTGACTCAGGTTGCCAGATATGCAGACGAATCCAGCTGGGACCATAACAGCTGAATAGACAAGAGTTTTGTCAACAACAAATCTATAACCAACACCTTTTTCACAAAGATAGAAATCCTGGTTTTATTCCTTGTTTTGTCGTTAATGATTTGAGAATCATAACGAGACCTTTTTTAGTTCTGCGCCACATGGTACTTTACCAGTGAGATTAGTTCCACATGGTACTTTACCAGTGAGATTAGCTCCATGCGATGAGTTCTGGCGCCAGGATCACGGACTTTCTGATTGGTGAAACGGTGGAGGGCGGGACATCGAAATGAAAACAATAACAAGATTTAGAGGCTGGAAAAGTAATTTAGAAATTCAAATATCTCTGAACTACTGTTATCAGTTAAAGAAGGATTGGAAAAGAACAGTTTATTATTATGACAGATTAGGGCCCTTTAATGATGACAGATTAGGGCCTTTAATGATGACAGATTAGGGCTCTTTAATGACGACATATTAGGGCCCTTTAATGATGACAGATTAGGGCCCTTTAATGATGACAGGTTAGGGCCCTTTAATGATGACAGATTAGGGTTTTTTAATGATGACAGATTAGGGCCCTTTAATGATCCAGATTAGGGCCCTTTAATGATGACAGATTAGGGCCCTTTAATGATGACAGATTAGAGCTCTTTAAAATGACAGATTAGGGTTTTTTAATGATGACAGATTAGGGCCCTTTAATGATCCATATTAGGGCCCTTTAATGATGACAGATTAGGGCCCTTTAATGATCCAGATTAGGGCCCTTTAATGATGACAGATTAGGGCCCTTTAATGATGACAGATTAGAGCTCTTTAAAATGACAGATTAGGGCCCTTTAATTTGTCCAGACCGTGGTATGTTCAGATGTTGTGACGTAACGTACTCCTTTCATAGTTTGTCCATGACTATGTGTCAGACTCCGCAGCCACATGGTGTACATACTCTCCTGTTACTCCTTGTTCCTTTTGCAAGACCCATTATTTATCCTGTGGAACTCTGTGGACGGTGAAGACTCCCTAAAGTCCAGTGTTTTTGTTTTTAACAGACAAAAACCTCTTTAATTACAGACAGCAGAGTCAGACCCTGTCATTATTTAACGACCAACTCTATTCTGCCTCTTCTCACACCTCCTGGAAACTCCAAATCCTGGTTTTGAAATGCAAATTTTGTTTTCATTGCATAAAACTACAAATACACACTTTTCTGCTTTATCTTTATTTTGTTGTTGTTTGTGTAATTCATTTTCCGTGGATTCTCTTTCTGGCATGTTCTCATTAAAACAGTTTAGTTGAATCAGGGACTAACTGAATGTAGTAGAATTCAAAGGTATTGGTCTTGTTTTGGATCTGCACAGAAACTTAAAGCTCAGGAACTGTTTTTACTAAAGAGAAAGGGCCGAGAGCGACTCCGTTCAGCAGCAGAAATAAAAATGTTGTTTATAAAAGCACTTAATCCCTGCGTTAGTGAAAATATGGAAAACATTATTAGTTAAAATTATGTAATTACTCAAAAGCTTTCTGGAACCTTCTGGACCTCATTATGAATTTATTTAGTTTGGATTGTTTGATTATTTTTTATTTTAATCCACTGATTTATTTTCCTGCTGAAGTGAAAGTCGTTTGTGAGGACGTGATGAGTCAGTAAGTTATAAAACGCTGGAGTTTGGACGTGAAACCTGCTGAGTGCGATGGGGGCAGAGGGCAATCGTCACGGGAACCAAACCCAAGACCTGACGCTGCCGTTTCACAAACTCAAGGATCTTCAGACGCACTAACCCTTTAACTTGCACTTTACGGCTTTTTAACAACAGTACAGTACAACGAGGTGAAGTCCTAAAGTTTGGATTCCTGAAAATTAAACTTCTTCACCACATTAAAGTATCAATATGTAAGATTTTAAGTGTTAGGTCGTCATTAAAGGGCCCTAATTTGTCATCATCAAAGGGCCCTAATCTGTCATCATTAAAGGGCCCTAATCTGTCATCATTAAAGGGCCCTAATCTCTCATCATTAAAGGGCCCTAATCTGTCATCAGTTAAGGACCCTAATCTCTCATCATTAAAGGGCCCTAATCTGTCATCAGTTAAGGACCCTAATCTCTCATCATTAAAGGGCCCTAATCTGTCATCAGTTAAGGACCCTAATCTGTCATCATTAAAGGGCCCTAATCTGTCATCAGTTAAGGACCCTAATCTGTCATCATTAAAGGGCCCTAATCTGTCATAATAATAAACTGCTCTTTTCCAATCCTTCTTAAAACTGATAACAGTAGTTCAGAGATATTTGAATTTCTAAATTACTTTTCCAGCCCCTAAATCTTGTTATTGTTTTCATTTCGATGTCCCGCCCTCCACCGTTTCACCAATCAGAAAGTCTGTGATCCTGGCGCCAGAACTCACCGCGTGGAGCTAATCTCACTGGTAAAGTACCATGTGGCGCAGAACTAAAAAAGGTCTCGTTATGATTCTCAAATCATTAACGACAAAACAAGGAATAAAACCAGGATTTCTATCTCTGTGAAAAAGGTGTTGGTTATAGATTTGTTGTTGACAAAACTCTTGTCTATTCAGCTGTTATGGTCCCAGCTGGATTCGTCTGCATATCTGGAAACCTGAGTCAGGGAGAGTGGGAGAGGCTGCAGTACCACTTTTGGCCACATGTTTACATACATAAACAAGAACTTTGATTTTTATGTTATTCAGAAAAACACATAGAATCCAATGCTTTTGTAGAACTAAACGTTTTACTGTTTTTCCTCTTCATTTTCTGGCCTTGATCTTGACGTCTTCCTCCGGAGCTGCTGCTGTCTGGGTGTAAGCAGCGGATTAGGCCCAATGATCAGTTGTACCGGCGTCTTTCCTCCACACCGCGGTTCATTAAATGGTTGTTTGATGCCGTGTGTGGTTTCCTCTTCGCACAAAGGGCTGTACTTAGTGCCTCAGGTCGGGGCAGATCTCTGGGGGCAGATCTCTGGGGGCAGATCTCTGGGGCCTCTGTGGAGCTCTGAGAGATCAGTTTATCACAGGAAGGATGTGGAGAGAGAAATGGGCCATACTTCCTGTCTCTAGACGAGTTTGCATTTTTGATTAAGATAATTTACGTCTATGTTATATCATTCGTCATTGCTCTTTGTTTACTCAGGCCGTATCGGACGCCGCGGGACAAGGAGTGACCATCACCGGCAACAAGACCTTCAACAACTGGAACTGGCCGAATGCGGTTATTTTCGCAGCAACTGTTATCACCACGATCGGTACAATAAAACTTAAAGATACAGTCAGACATTTATCCAGGCGCAGTTTTTCAAATCCTGTGGGAAACGTCCCTAAATTCCAAAAGAAGCCGAGTTATGGCGTGTTTTTAGAAAGGAGCAGACCAGATGTGGCCTCGAAACATAAATCATGAATATGTCAGAGCCATAGGAAGCCATAGCAACAGCAAGGCAGTTTTAATGGAATGGCACACTGACATACACAAGGCAACTAAGTGTATAATAATGCTAACAAGACAGCATTAAAATCATAATCACAGAACATTAAAAAGAAAGATTAAAATATAAAATCCCTCAGTTGGAGCAGAAACAGAACTGTTTTTAACCTGGATTTAAGCATTTCTAGAGAAGAAGCCTGTCTCACACTGTCAGGAAGATTGTTCTAGATTTCAGCAGCATGAATCTGAAATGCTGACGCCCTATGTTTCCTCATTAAAGGGCCCTAATCTGCCATGATTTAAAAGGCCCTAATCTGTCATCATTAAAGGGCCCTAATCTTTCATGATTTAAAGGGCCCTAATCTGTCATAATTAAAGGGCCCTAATCTGTCATCATTAAAGGGTCCCAATCTGTCATCATTAAAGGGCTCTAATCTGTCATCATTAAATGGCTCTAATCTGTCATCATTAAAGGGCTCTAATCTGTCATCATTAAAGGGCCCTAATCTGTCATTAAAGGGCTCTAATCTGTCATCATTAAAGGGCCCTAATCTGTCATCATTAAAGGGCCCTAATCTGTCATCATTAAAGGGCTCTAATCTGTCATGATTTAAAGGGCCCTAATCTGTCATAATTAAAGGGCCCTAATCAGGAAGATTGTTCTAGATTTCAGCAGCATGAATCTGAAATGCTGACGCCCTATGTTTCCTCATTAAAGGGCCCTAATCTGCCATGATTTAAAGGGCCCTAATCTGTCATCATTAAAGGGCCCTAATCTTTCATGATTTAAAGGGCCCTAATCTGTCATAATTAAAGGGCCCTAATCTGTCATCATTAAAGGGTCCCAATCTGTCATCATTAAAGGGCTCTAATCTGTCATCATTAAATGGCTCTAATCTGTCATCATTAAAGGGCTCTAATCTGTCATCATTAAAGGGCCCTAATCTGTCATTAAAGGGCTCTAATCTGTCATCATTAAAGGGCCCTAATCTGTCATCATTAAAGGGCCCTAATCTGTCATCATTAAAGGGCTCTAATCTGTCATCATTAAAGGGCCCTAATCTGTCATAATAATAAACTGCTCTTTTCCAATCCTTCTTTAACTGATAACAGTCGTTCAGAGATATTTGAATTTCTAAATTACTTTTCCAGCCTCTAAATCTTTTTATTGTTTTCATTTCGTTGTCCCGCCCTCCACCGTTTCACCAATCAGAAAGTCTGTGATCCGGGCGCCAGAACCAGGAATAAAACCAGGATTTCTATCTTTGTGAAAAAGGTGTTGGTTATAGATTTGTTGTTGACAAAACTCTCTGTAAGCCGCTGCCATCTTGTCTCACAGGATATGGGAACATTGCTCCTAAGACGCCTTCTGGTCGGGTCTTCTGCATCTTCTACGGCCTGTTCGGAGTCCCGCTGTGCCTCACCTGGATCAGCGAGTTGGGAAAGTTTTTCGGAGGCCGAGCCAAGCACCTGGGCCAGTTCCTCACCAAGAAGGGCTTCTCTCTGGTGCGTCTTTGAGCCTTTGATTCTACAGGGATAGAACCTCCGTTGTATCCTGTGTCCTTTGATCTAAGAGGCCTTTGTGTTCTGCAGAGGAAGGCTCAGTTTACCTGCACAGCCATCTTCCTCCTCTGGGGCCTCCTGGTGCATTTGGTGCTGCCTCCTTTTGTCTTCATGTCCCAGGAGGGCTGGTCCTATGTCGAAGGTCTCTACTTCTCCTTTGTCACTTTAACAACCATTGGATTTGGGGATTTGGTGGCAGGTAAGTTTACGCTTTAAGCCTGAGAACAAACCTGACTGTATGCAGAGATAGATATGGTTTGTTTTAAAAGACATGGACAGAGGCTCAACACACAACACACAGACTGATAAACATTGGATTCAAACTAAACTATAATGGAAACAGTTAACCCAGGCATGTCCAAACTCAGGCCCAGGGACCAATTGCGGCCCTCAGTGTCAGTGTATGTGGCCCTCTGCCTTTGTAACCCACGGTAGTCTCTGAGATCATAAACACAAGTTCACTGTGTCATCCATCCAACTTCAGCTCAGCCAATATAGACCCTGTTCAAAAGCTCAGTACATTATTGGTGCTAATGTAGCTGGTGAGATGGTAAACATGTGTCATTCAGCCAACTTCAGCTCTGTTATTGATTATTTTAAATCTCAGAACCGCTCGATGCCAGTCAAGTTTTTTAGTCTGTGATGTCAGGCCCTGGACTAGTCTGGTGAAACTAAAGTGGCCTCTTACTAAAAAGTTTGGACACCCCTGAGTTAACCCAAACTTTGTAAGTCAGACTTGACCTGGGACAGACAACCTGGATTTAAAAACTGGATTGACTGGATTCTGGAATTTTAAATGTGTTTTGAGTCATCCTTATTGATCCACAGCTGTGTTTTATTTAGAATGTTTACTGACGTAAACAAATGTCAGTAAATAACAATAAAGTAAACAACTGGATTCCAGAGAGTCTGAGGTTTACAACAAGGTACAGCATGACTGTGTTGGTGGAGCTGAAGTTGGCTGGATGACACTGTTCAAAGTGCATCAATGGGGACTTTGTGTCAGCAGCAGAGGGCCACATAACATGCTACAGAGGGCCGCAATTGGCCCTCGGGCCTGAGTTTGGACATGCCTGGGTAAACCTTTTAAGAGTTAACCCAGAGCCCTGAAACTTTAAGATGAATCAAAAACAGAAATATTTAAAGTAAAATATAGACAAATGTTATTAGCTCTTAAAAGAGTGCAGAACAGGACGAGATAAAACTGGGATGAAAACAGACAAATAGAGTTTGTCCTACCCCATGGTCCTACCCCATGGTCCTACCCCATGGTCCTACCCCATGGTCCTACCCCACCTAACACACACACACACACACCCACCATCCCATAATGCACAGCTGTTTCTCCTGTTTTAATGTCCTGTACAGTGTCCTTGAAAGGCCCTTTTAAATAAAATGTATTATTATTATTATTATTATATTTACAATAATTCAATGTTAACATTTAACATTATTTATGGATGTAACATGTTTGTGTTTATGTTTTCGCTCTGCAGGAGTGGAGCCCAATAAGGAATACCCGACTCTGTACCGTTACTTCGTGGAGGTGTGGATCTACTTGGGTCTGGCCTGGCTCTCCCTCTTCTTCAACTGGAAAGTGCGAATGGTCATAGAAGCTCACAAGGCTTTGAAGAAACGCCGAAAACTGCGCAAATTATCCCTGGACGAGCTGCAGCATTATAAGGAGTCGCACAAAGCGTCTCTCAGGCTTCCGCCGACTCCTAACGACGTGAATATTTTCGGCTTCTTGTCCAAAAAGCAGGAAGGCTACAACGACTTAATCAAACAGATCGGCAGCAAAAAGGACAGTAGACCCAACAGTTCCGCCATCAGCGCCATCAACAGAGTCAAGTCCAAAGACATGGGCCGGTCCCAGAGCTGTAACGACGCCCCGGTGTTCAACGGTCACACCATTTTAAGCCTGGATCGGTCTCCACGACAAAAGAGACGCTACAGTTTCAGCGACCGTGTGACTGTGGCCTTCTCCAAATCTAAGAACTACCTCTTGGGCTCCGACAGCGGGCTACTGCTCACCGAGGACCAGGTGGAAGGGGACGCGAACCCACACCCGCTGTTCGAAAACCAGCTGGATAAAGACGTAGACGTAGAACACAGAGGAGCCGGCGATTCCACGAAGCGAACCTGGGACCATAAAGAACACCATGCGCTCGCCATTCAAAACGCCAACATTACTTTTATCGATGAGGAGAATTTTTTAGGGAGTAACTTGGAGGAAGAGGAGGAGGACAATGATTCTAAAGCAAAGTTGTCCATAACGACGTGCGATGAGAATATTGAAATGAACTCAAAGGAAGAGCAAGGGTCGGAGTCGGAGGAGTCTGTGTTCACCAGCGACGGCTCCGAGCACAGCCTTTTCTACGAGAAACTGGTGGAAGAGTATTCCAAAGAAGACAACACAGACACATGACACCGGGGAGGCCTTTTTAAAAAACATTTACCTTTTGTTTCAAGAATCCAACATTTCAATGCACTTTCCAGTCAACTGCTATCAGACATCCACGTTTCACTGACATCACATTTGATAACGTCGTTCAAATCCATTGTATATTATTATTTATGTTTTTGTATATTATCAAAGAACACATATTTTGTAAACTTCAAATCTGGCGCCCTTTCTCAACAGCTCATTTTCTGCAACTCTGTGGAAATCTTAGTGTTATTCATCATATTGGTGAGATTTGTAAAGTTTCTTGAAATGAAGGACCGTGGCTTAACTGAAATTGCCGTTGCACAATCGCTTCAAAGAGAGGACGGTTCAAAGTCCTCTCCGAAAACTGAGCCAACCTTTTTATTGTAGTAAAAACCTTGATTTTTTTTGCGGTGCTTAAAGATGAGCGTGGGTTATTTTGACTTAGAGCAATAGTGTTGAGATTGCGTCGAAGGTCACTGAGCACAAAATACTGGCACAGCAGGTTAATTGTCGGTCATATGGAAGTCATGGGATGTTTTGTGACTTGAGCAATGCCTTTTCTTTTTATCTGTGAGTGTATTTTTCCACTAAAGAGCCTCCCACATGCTGGTGACGTGTGTGTGTGTTGGTGTGTGTATATTATGCTGCTTGTTGTGTGTCTGTGTTGAGTAATGGGAACTTTCAGAGTGACACTTTTCACTTTCTCTGTTTGGGTTCCCTGCACACACCAGCTGCTGTCTGATCTGAAGCCGCACAGGCGCTGCATAGGCTCCCGTTCGGTGGTGTGACTCTCTCTCTGTCTCTGTCTGTCTCTCTCTCCCTGTCTCTCTGTCTCTCTGTCTTACTGTCTCTCTGTCTCTCTGTCTCTCTCTCTCTCTCTGTCTCTCTCTCTCTGTCTCTCTCTCTGTCTCTCTGTCTCTGTCTCTGTCTCTCTGTCTCTGTCTCTGTCTCTCTGTCTCTGTCTCTGTCTCTGTCTCTCTGTCTCTGTCTCTGTCTCTCTGTCTCTGTCTCTGTCTCTCTCTCTCTCTCTCTCTGTGTGTGAAGTAGCCGCTTCAAGGTTAGCATGTAACGGATCAATGCTGCTGACGTGTGTGTGGTCATGGGACGGGCCCAGCTGCACTTCCTTGTTTCACTTCTAGACGACTTCCAAACGCACAAACTGCCTTTTCTGTTTCTGTCTGGGATCGTTTTTCACTTCACTTTTGAGCCTTTAAAGCAGGGGTCCCCAACCTTTGATGCAGCAGAAGTCACAGAAAGCTACTGCCTTTTGTACTCCTCATAAACATCTATATGTATAATTTGTCAATGGGGGTTATTCAATTCAAATAACTTTAATCATTTGTGAGGAACTTCATTTACAGACAGAGCACCAGTGAGGTACACACAAACACATGATCCAAGTATGAATTCAGTAAAAGAGCAGAAATGCATTATAAAATACATAAAACAAGTCTCTAAATCAGCTGTTTAAAAGGCAAATTGAGGTTTTTAAGCACAATAAGTTTGGATTTCAGCCTAAACCGCTCTTCAGTCTGCATTGTGTCGCACTAAGGTCCTTTATGGACACATTTTGGTTCTTTTATGTTGTAAAATGTAAATGTGATTTCTGAAAACGTGTGACCTGAGATCTGGAGTACGTATTGGCCAAAGAAAATAAACTACTACTATAGAATAACTACCACAAAACATTTAAAACACACATGTCAAACATACTTTAACACTGTAATATAACCCCACATTTTTTGCAAAAACAGATTTCTCAGTTTTAAAAATGTGTCTCAAAGTTGTATTTCTTTACAATAATCCACATGTTTTATTTATTAGCTGTAGATAAGGGCTGACACATTTGTATGGCACTCAAATGCACCTGACTTTTCCAAAAATCTACTTTTAGTAAATGGAAAATATGAAGTCTTTCCAATATTTTGTAGTGATGGCACTTATCTATTTTTGCAGATTAACGACTCATTTATAGTTTACACGAGACTGCAGACATAATCATCCAGGATCATGTGTTAAGCTCAGGTTGGGGACTCCAGCTGCAGAGGAAGAATGAAACAGAATTCTTATACTTTTGTGCGACTTTGGCCTCATTGTGTGTCTGTGTGGTGTGCAAAGAGGTGTGTGCGGTTCAAAGCAGAAGATGAACTCGGTGTAAGTGACTCGGAGAAGGAGAGTCTGGGTTCTTTGGTCTCTCCTTCTGCACTCGAGCCCATGACCACAGTGTTAGTGACTCGGAGAAGGAGAGTCTGGGTTCTTTGGTCTCTCCTTCTGCACTCGAGCCCATGACCACAGTGTTAGTGACTCGGAGAAGGAGAGTCTGGGTTCTTTGGTCTCTCCTTCTGCACTCGAGCCCATGATCACAGTGTTAGTGACTCGGAGAAGGAGAGTCCGGGTTCTTTGGTCTCTCCTTCTGCACTCGAGCCCATGACCACAGTGTTAGTGACTCGGAGAAGGAGAGTCCGGGTTCTTTGGTCTCTCCTTCTGCACTCGAGCCCATGACCACAGTGTTAGTGACTCGGAGAAGGAGAGTCCGGGTTCTTTGGTCTCTCCTTCTGCACTCGAGCCCATGACCACAGTGTTAGTGACTCGGAGAAGGATAGTCCGGGTTCTTTGGTCTCTCCTTCTGCACTCGAGCCCATGACCACAGTGTTAGTGACTCGGAGAAGGAGAGTCTGGGTTCTTTGGTCTCTCCTTCTGCACTCGAGCCCATGACCACAGTGTTAGTGACTCGGAGAAGGAGAGTCCGGGTTCTTTGGTCTCTCCTTCTGCACTCGAGCCCATGACCACAGTGTTAGTGACTCGGAGAAGGAGAGTCCGGGTTCTTTGGTCTCTCCTTCTGCACTCGAGCCCATGACCACAGTGTTAGTGACTCGGAGAAGGAGAGTCCGGGTTCTTTGGTCTCTCCTTCTGCACTCGAGCCCATGACCACAGTGTTAGTGACTCGGAGAAGGAGAGTCTGGGTTCTTTGGTCTCTCCTTCTGCACTCGAGCCCATGACCACAGTGTTAGTGACTCGGAGAAGGAGAGTCCGGGTTCTTTGGTCTCTCCTTCTGCACTCGAGCCCATGACCACAGTGTTAGTGACTCGGAGAAGGAGAGTCCGGGTTCTTTGGTCTCTCCTTCTGCACTCGAGCCCATGACCACAGTGTTAGTGACTCGGAGAAGGAGAGTCCGGGTTCTTTGGTCTCTCCTTCTGCACTCGAGCCCATGACCACAGTGTTAGTGACTCGGAGAAGGATAGTCCGGGTTCTTTGGTCTCTCCTTCTGCACTCGAGCCCATGACCACAGTGTTAGTGACTCGGAGAAGGAGAGTCTGGGTTCTTTGGTCTCTCCTTCTGCACTCGAGCCCATGACCACAGTGTTAGTGACTCGGAGAAGGAGAGTCCGGGTTCTTTGGTCTCTCCTTCTGCACTCGAGCCCATGACCACAGTGTTAGTGACTCGGAGAAGGAGAGTCCGGGTTCTTTGGTCTCTCCTTCTGCACTCGAGCCCATGACCACAGTGTTAGTGACTCGGAGAAGGAGAGTCCGGGTTCTTTGGTCTCTCCTTCTGCACTCGAGCCCATGACCACAGTGTTAGTGACTCGGAGAAGGAGAGTCTGGGTTCTGTGGTCTCTCCTTCTGCACTCGAGCCCATGACCACAGTGTAAGTGACTCGGAGAAGGAGAGTCCGGGTTCTTTGGTCTCTCCTTCTGCACTCGAGCCCATGACCACAGTGTTAGTGACTCGGAGAAGGAGAGTCTGGGTTCTTTGGTCTCTCCTTCTGCACTCGAGCCCATGACCACAGTGTTAGTGACTCGGAGAAGGAGAGTCTGGGTTCTTTGGTCTCTCCTTCTGCACTCGAGCCCATGACCACAGTGTTAGTGACTCGGAGAAGGAGAGTCCGGGTTCTTTGGTCTCTCCTCCTGCACTCGAGCCCATGACCACAGTGTTAGTAACTCGGAGAAGGAGAGTCTGGGTTCTTTGGTCTCTCCTTCTGCACTCGAGCCCATGACCACAGTGTTAGTGACTCGGAGAAGGAGAGTCCGGGTTCTTTGGTCTCTCCTCCTGCACTCGAGCCCATGACCACAGTGTTAGTAACTCGGAGAAGGAGAGTCCGGGTTCTTTGGTCTCTCCTCCTGCACTCGAGCCCATGACCACAGTGTTAGTAACTCGGAGAAGGAGAGTCTGGGTTCTTTGGTCTCTCCTTCTGCACTCGAACCCATAACCTCCTCTTGTGTCTTGCACTGTGAGGACCGGTACTTGTGAAGACTGAATTGTGTGTCCGTGTCGGGACGTCTGTTGTTGTGATGCTGTGTGTGACTCCAACTTTTTGTCATGTCGTTTTTATTGTTATTAAATTATTGATGTTTTATGAATGTTGTAAGAAGTGCATTTCATTTATAATAAACACACTACAAAAAATACCTTTGTTATTCTGTTTGAAATGTGTTTACGGGATGTGCCTGATCTTATCACTGCAGCCTTTGGAGCTACAAGTACTTTGTATCTGACGTGTTCTAAAGGACGTGGCACTTTCCTTTTAGTTAAGTCACAGGTGTCAAAGTCGAGGCCCGGGGGCCAGATCCGGCGAGACCAGTGGCCCCTGAGATGATTTTAAATTATTATATTAAATAGCTGCATTGATGGCATTAGGCGACAATGGCACGTTATTCATGACTCATTTTCTCAAGAAAACAACCATAGAATGTAGTTCCATAAGAAACGTTAATCTGACATGAAGATTAGAAGTTAGTATCGTTATGTTGTGAGTCTTCAATTATTTTTCTCAAAGATATTAAGGAAGATTTCCCAATTTTCTTGAAAGAACCACACTCTACTTTTTGAACAAATCTCTCTGTTCTTATTGGACGAGCACAAATCACCAGAATGATTGACAGTTGGGAGGACCAATAGTTTTGATGATCCACCAGGAAGTAGAAAATCTTCCTTTATACCTTCAATATTCGGTCCAGTTTTGGTTCAGTTCAGCTATCCTTCAATAAATGAATAATGAGAACATAATTTTAATCAAACTCATGTGAAACGAGTCATTTATAAATAAACCTTTATATTCCAAAAAAATGTCATAAATGAAACTGATTCTTTCGGCCCTGACCAGCACTTTCTTTATTCGGACTCAACCAAAATAAGTTCGACACCTTTTATTTAAATTATATAAACGGACCTAAATTTGTGCCAGAATCTACAAACAGGAAGAGGATTAAAAACAGCAGATTATGACAAATATGTCGTTACTTATCAACTGTCTAAAAAAGGATGGATTTGTGATATATTTACTACGGCTGCTCCAGTCTTATACAGTATAATAAAGAATTACATACTTATTTGTTTTATTAACAAAAAGTCAGCTCAAAAAGAAAGAAGTTTAGACTTTTAAACTCCCCTGTATTAATTATTCTAATTTATTTAACTTAAATGATGCGGTGGCTACAGCTTGGCTCAGTCTGTGGTACGTTTATGCAACACTGACATTCACAATAACATAATACAAATATATAACAATAAGAATCGCTCTGACCTGAAGTAAAAAGAACAGTTTTGACTTTGCTTACAAAAGTTATACCCGTGTTGTTGCTGATGGCAGCTTCTGAGGCACGAGTTTAAGAAAGAAAAGTGCTGAGACCGATGGAAACTGAAGTGTCCTGTTTCTGCGGATTTCTCTCATGAACCCACTCCTTCATCTGTCGCCTGTAACCGCCAAGAAAGACCCTCGAGCTGCGACTTCACAACACCTGGGTCCTCTGTTTGGAATTATACATTTTTCTGTTGTGATAGACAGACAGACAGATAGACAGACACATAGACGGACAGATAGATAGACAGACAGACAGACAGACGAACAGATAGACAGACAGACAGACAGACAGATAGATAGACAGACACATAGACGGACAGATAGATAGACAGATAGACGGACAGATAGATAGACAGACAGACGGACAGATAGATAGACAGACAGACGGACAGATAGATAGATAGACACATAGACGGACAGATAGATAGACACATAGATACATAGATACTAGATAGATATAGATACTGTATTGATCCCTGTTGGAGAAATGCAGGGGTCCAGCAGCAGAAACACATCCAAAAAATACAAAAAACAAATGGATAATTATAAAAAGCTCACAATAGTAATGATAAAATGCAACAGCCCTTCATGCCCCAACGGTCACCATTAAACTGGGAAAATACTGCTCCTTTCATGTCATGTCATTTTCAACCCCTTTATTAGTCCACTTCTGGGTCGGGGGGTGACAATCAGAACTGCCCTGTCTCATCGCACCAGTCCCTCTGATCCTCTGCAGGTGGTGGGCTTCTCTGTGATCAAAGACATGGCCTTGGTCTTTCAGCGGGGGCTTCAGGCAAAGTGGGGTTAAGTGTCTTGCCCAGAAAGACAACGACAGCAGACATCAGTGGGAGCAGGTGACATGGGTCGTGGTGGGATAGAACCCACAACCATTAGGTTCAAAGACCAGTGCTCTACCAACTAGTTACTGCTCCTTTAATTATTTTTATTTATTTATTTATTTTATTTAATTTTAATTTTTGTTACTGTGGGTTTATGTTCCAGAATTTAACCGTCTGTGGTCGTCACGTGAGGCTGAGATGGATTTACACAGATTTAAAAAGATGAATAAAAGAATGGCCCATGGACAGGTTCTTTTATAGTCCTAAATATGACGAGATTATATGGTCTCTGGTCCCTGGTTCCTGGTCTCTGGTCTCTGGTCTCTGGTCCCTGGTCCCTGCTCCCTGGTCTCTGGTCTCTGGTCCCTGGTCCCTGGTCCCTGGTCCCTGGTCCCTGGTCTCTGGTCCCTGGTCCCTGGTCCCTGGTCTCTGGTCTCTGGTCTCTGGTCTCTGGTCCCTGGTCCCTGGTATCTGGTCCCTGGTCTCTGGTCCCTGGTCCCTGGTCCCTGGTCCCTGGTCCCTGGTCTCTGGTCCCTGGTCCCTGGTCCCTGGTCCCTGGTCTCTGGTCCCTGGTCTCTGGTCCCTGGTCCCTGGTCCCTGGTCCCTGGTCCCTGGTCCCTGGTCTCTGGTCCCTGGTCTCTGGTCTCTGGTCCCTGGTCCCTGGTCCCTGGTCTCTGGTCTCTGGTCCCTGGTCCCTGGTCCCTGGTCCCTGGTCCCTGGTCCCTGGTCCCTGGTTTCTGGTCCCTGGTCCCCTCGTCCCTGGTCCCTGGTCTCTGGTCTCTGGTCTCTGGTCCCTGGTCCCTGGTCCCTGGTCCCTGGTCCCTGGTCCCTGGTCTCTGGTCTCTGGTCTCTGGTCTCTGGTCTCTGGTCTCTGGTCCCTGGTCCCTGGTCCCTGGTCTCTGGTCCCTGGTCCCTGGTCCCTGGTCCCTGGTCTCTGGTCTCTGGTCTCTGGTCTCTGGTCTCTGGTCTCTGGTCTCTGGTCTCTGGTCCCTGGTCCCTGGTATCTGGTATCTGGTCCCTGGTCTCTGGTCCCTGGTCCCTGGTCCCTGGTCCCTGGTCCCTGGTCCCTGGTCCCTGGTCTCTGGTCTCTGGTCTCTGGTCTCTGGTCTCTGGTCTCTGGTCCCTGGTCCCTGGTCCCTGGTCTCTGGTCCCTGGTCCCTGGTCCCTGGTCCCTGGTCCCTGGTCCCTGGTCTCTGGTCTCTGGTCCCTGGTCTCTGGTCTCTGGTCTCTGGTCCCTGGTCCCTGGTATCTGGTCCCTGGTCTCTGGTCCCTGGTCCCTGGTCCCTGGTCCCTGGTCTCTGGTCTCTGGTCCCTGGTCCCTGGTCCCTGGTCCCTGGTCCCTGGTCCCTGGTCCCTGGTCCCTGGTCCCTGGTCCCTGGTCCCTGGTCCCTGGTCCCTGGTCCCTGGTCCCTGGTCCCTGGTCCCTGGTCCCTGGTCTCTGGTCTCTGGTCTCTGGTCCCTGGTCCCTGGTCCCTGGTCTCTGGTCTCTGGTCTCTGGTCCCTGGGGGTCCCTGGTCTCTGGTCTCTGGTCCCTGGTCCCTGGTCTCTGGTCTCTGGTCTCTGGTCCCTGGTCCCTGGTCCCTGGTCCCTGGTCCCTGGTCCCTGGTCCCTGGTCCCTGGTCCCTGGTCTCTGGTCTCTGGTCTCTGGTCTCTGGTCTCTGGTCCCTGGTCCCTGGTCTCTGGTCTCTGGTCTCTGGTCCCTGGGGGTCCCTGGTCCCTGGTCTCTGGTCTCTGGGTCTCTGGTCCCTGGTCCCTGGTCTCTGGTCTCTGGTCTCTGGTCCCTGGTCCCTGGTCCCTGGTCCCTGGTCCCTGGTCCCTGGTCTCTGGTCTCTGGTCTCTGGTCTCTGGTCTCTGGTCCCTGGTCCCTGGTCTCTGGTCTCTGGTCTCTGGTCCCTGGGGGTCCCTGGTCTCTGGTCTCTGGTCTCTGGTCCCTGGTCCCTGGTCCCTGGTTCCTGGTCTCTGGTCTCTGGTCTCTGGTCTCTGGTCCCTGGTCCCTGGTCCCTGGTCCCTGGTCCCTGGTCCCTGGTCTCTGGTCTCTGGTCTCTGGTCCCTGGTCCCTGGTCCCTGGTCCCTGGTCCCTGGTCTCTGGTCCCTGGTCCCTGGTCTCTGGTCCCTGGTCCCTGGTCCCTGGTCCCTGGTCCCTGGTCCCTGGTCCCTGGTCCCTGGTCTCTGGTCTCTGGTCTCTGGTCCCTGGTCCCTGGTCCCTGGTCCCTGGTCCCTGGTCCCTGGTCCCTGGTCCCTGGTCCCTGGTCCCTGGTCCCTGGTTTCTGGTCCCTGGTCCCTGGTCCCTGGTCTCTGGTCCCTGGTCTCTGGTCTCTGGTCTCTGGTCTCTGGTCTCTGGTCCCTGGTCTCTGGTCCCTGGTCCCTGGTCTCTGGTCTCTGGTCCCTGGTCTCTGGTCTCTGGTCTCTGGTCCCTGGGGGTCCCTGGTCCCTGGTCCCTGGTCTCTGGTCTCTGGTCTCTGGTCCCTGGTCCCTGGTTCCTGGTCTCTGGTCTCTGGTCTCTGGTCTCTGTCCTGTCCCTGGTCCCTGGTCCCTGGTCCCTGGTCCCTGGTCCCTGGTCTCTGGTCTCTGGTCTCT